AATACACTGTTGGTTACAGGTTGGGTAATTGTTGAACCAATGTTGGTTATTAGTTGGCCCAATGTAGGGCCAACGCAGTTTGGTTGGGAATACGTTGGCAATGCGTTGGCATTAAAAAGACGTTCAGCCAACCGTTGGCCAAAGTGAGCACTTAGATGGAAACCCAACGTTGGGCCAACGTTGCACGGTCAACCAAGGCAACGTTGGGCCAACGTTGGCCCAACGTATGCTTGCTATCTGGGTTAGAGAGACCAGCAGCAAAGGTGGGTTTAGTTGTATGTTTCTTATGCACTTTTCACGCAAAAGACACGACATCATATTTTTCATTTTGTTGCTAGGATATCGTGTAGTGACCAATAGTAGGCCTAGTACATCACGAACACATACTACTCTTGATTCTGGCAACAGTATTTCAATCGAATTAAGATGTCGATTTGAAAACGAAACATGGGCAACACGTGCTTTAGTTCGCAACACGTGATGATGATTCAAATTGGCCACACACATTATACTAGACTATTAATATTACTTTTCAAAAACACCGTGACACCATCAAATACTTTTTGGATACGGCCTATAGATAACCAAAATCACTGTGTTTTGTCACGTTGGTAACGTGTTGGGATCACTCTGGATTCACGTGCATAATGACACCAAGAGACTCCGCTCAGGTCGAAAACATATGACATGAAATCCCAATGTCCTTAACAGAGATCTACATGACTTTTTTTCGAAAATTGTCATTTGTCCATTGCGATTTTATCGTACACAGTTACCAACTATTTAAATACATCCATTGTCATGCACCCCCCCCAAACACACACGCTCGCGCGCACACACACGCACACACACACACACACGCTGATCACCAAGGTGACCCCCAGACTTGATGATATCTGAGGAGTTCCACAGCACTAGTTGCAATGAATGGGCTTTTGCCTGTTTTTACTCAATTCGTTTTGAGCGCGGGTTTTAAAGCCGAGTCTTCTGCCATTATAATTGACTCTGAATTAGATTTGGCTTAGATCCTAAAAGTATTTGTCACCAAACTGCCACACCACGTGAGGGCTCAGCGTAGGAATAAATAGGTCTCCTCGTGATCACAAACAAAGGGTAAAAAAGTTGACGTGTCGCTATGCGTTTGAATATTGATTATTGGATAAAAAAGACACATGAATAGTGCGATCTTTTCCACCATTTTGAATTGAAACACAAACTCACGCACATATGTGAGCTACATGGTACACGTTATATACAGTCGTGTTGCTGAATTTTTTAAAAAATATTTTTAAAAAGGTTATCCTTTGCCTACTTTATCCATGTATATCGGGTTTCCGAAATAAAATCAATATAGTATATTTCAGCAATTCTAAGTGCAAGAGATGACTGCTGTTTAATGCAGAACATGGTGTTAATCTTTCTTGTGCTTGTTCGCGATTTTCTCGGAAAGAATCTGTAATATACTACTTTTACTTGTATTTATGTATCGATCTATCGCTCAGTGTGGCATCATATCGAAAATTCTTGGTGGAATAACTTATCTGGGTTACGAGAGTCTGGACTCTATGCAAATACAGGTGAGTGTATTTATTATATGTCTCCCTTAACCTGACATATACTTGTACCAGTAACTCTGTGAAAAATTATGCCCTAGACTGCGTATTTTACATACTCAGTTTACATACGTATTCATGACCCACTTCTTGTACCTTAAATGTAAAAGAGAAATCAATAAACTATTCCTTAGATTTTCTAGCATGCCTGATAAAGCAGCGAGCATTTCAACGGTCTGTACCTATAAACACCAAAAGGCACGGACCGCTCGTGGGGTACACAAGGTACCGGCTGAGTGTATTATAACGTAGGTCTATATTATGACACAGGCAGGGATGAGGACAAGTCTGACAACTGGGTCGCTTGGGTAGACGGTCATAAAATATTTGGCATTGAATGACTAATCATGCAGCGCTCAATCTTCAACTGCTGACGGGGTTGTTTGCTCCCCAGAGGTTGGTGAGCATAATATGTACTCGACATACGGTGAGCAAAATGAAGATAATCAGACGTACGTACATGACAGTTGTAATGTATGAATAAAAAATTAGTACATACTTCAAACATGGCAATGTATATCAGAAAATGATATAAAATTTTCACAATGTCAAGTACAGATGAAGTGAACGTAATCTGAGGTCAATGACTACATTTCTTATCTAATTGACTGTGATAAGCTTACATAAGGGTGCAGTACTAACCGTCCTTTTTCAACAGATATATAACCTATGTTGGCCCTTCAATCGATAATATTAAAAATCTATAATAAGCGCATGTGCACGGTCGGTGTGCAGTATTGAACACATATTGAAAGCACACATCAAGATAAACGCCGCTCTGTTTAAGACCAACTGGTTAAGTTAACACCTTACCGTGTCCCCTTCGTTATATAGAGACGGTGTTGCTCAAACCGACGTACAGTGCTCACACCCGGGATCAAACGCAGCTCCAGTTGACCTGCACGAGCAACTCTGGGTCTCAGCTGTCAGCCACCAACAAATGCACGAAAACAACTTCTTATTTAATGCATCCAGAATAATTGAGATCCGGTTTAAACCAGAATTCATGCATGCTTAGAGGTTGCATTGCAAACTGCCAAGTGACTGTAAGGTCAAAGTTGAATGTGGCATTACTAAGAGAAGGTGTATTTAAAGAAACGTCTCGGTGAAACCAGTGAGTGTGACAAATGCATTAGGAAATGATGCGGGCGATCCGCCACTAGCACTCCTCATATGATAATGGTTTCCTATAATATAAAGTACTGTAGCACTTAAGTAAATATTTGAAATTATATGCCGCGACTTCAGATTCAAATATCGAATCAGCTGGATCGATCCAATTCTGCAGAGGATTCTGGCTAAACTGCATTTAGTGTAATCAGCCTAATTGTCTGACAGACCTCCTGAATTAGGTAAGGGGTAATTAACATTCGTGCGGGCTCGGCTTAATTACCCCCTAGCAGCTCGACATTTCAGCTGATTAGTGATAGGACATAGGGAGAATCCGCCTCAGAGTTGGAGCGATCTGGCCAGTACGATGGATTTATCTGAACGCTCCTTATACAGATAGGAGTGCACTAGTTAGGCCGATTATTCGGATAATGGCAACTAGAGTTCTATAGAGCACACATAGCGTTTTTTTAAAGTGGCCGAAGAGTTGGTTAAAGAGGAGTGAAAGGGAAGCAAAATTTAATATTTATTTTATTAACGTTGAAATAAGTCTATATTTATAATAGTTTTATCACTGCAAGTTTGACACAATCTTGTGTAAACAAAATTTTTCTTGATACTTAGTTAATTAGGCCTGTATTTGACATCGGCGACCTGCACAAGCTTTTGAACAGAGCTGACATAGTAGGCCACTGAAAACATGTGTAACTAGACAGCAAAGCTGGGAAACATACAGACACCGAGCAACAATAAATAAATAATAATAAATATTAATTATAATAAAGAATAAAATAAATAAAAAACAAAAGAAGATAAATAAACAATGCAGCAATGTCTACAAATGAAAAGTAAATATAAAAATACAAATAAAAAATAATAACTTCTATTTAACGAAAGATGGCAAACGTTTGAATTTTTTTTAATTAAAAAAAATTAAAAATGTCAACCTCAGTAACAAGTATGGTCCGTCTAAAAGAGGTAATTGTTTTTCACTCTTCACGGGCTCTTTAGTTTTTTCTTACCAATCATCATTACACAATACTGACAGTGCAAATCCATAAGTATGGTCTTCAAAATTGTTTAAAAGGTTGAATCCAGTACTTTCTTTTTTGAAAGATTGGGAGCAAGTTTTGATATATGTGTGTGTGTGTGTGTGCGTTTTTTTTTCTTTCTTTTTTTTTACCATACCCTGGCTCCCAGTTGTCTTTAAGGACAAAATCATCTATGCTTATCCATCACTCGCCCGACTGCCAGCCATTTTAGAAGGTTACTGGGTATCTAGGAAAACAAAATAACCTTTGGCTAGAACGACACTGGTAGTTGTGTACCATCTGTCTTAGGGCATGTTCCTGCTATCTATCATTGAGAGAGGAGGGGGATTGTCTTGTGTAGATGGAAAAGTAAATCAACACAAGTCACTCATTCAGTAAGATTACAAACAACATCTTCTTTCAAAATTTTATTGACTAACTACAAATTTAATTAGAAAGAGTAATTCTTCTCAAAGTTTACAAACATTAGCAAGTTACAAATAAAAATACTTCCACAACAAAATTCCGAGTAATAAGTTCCTGAATTCATTAATGGACATTACAGATAGCTCCCTTAACTTGGTTATATATCCTGTAAAATATAACTGCTGGATTGCCCCTGTTGTACAAGTACGATATGCTACAAAAAAGTCCAGGGTCTCTACATGATATATGACATAAAAGTTAACCCTTCCTGCTTAGGTAAAAAGTATAATCACTGCCTTGGAATACCTCTGCTAGGGGCTACCTGGATGCTGAGTGTATCGTACAGATATGTGCACAGAAGTAACCAGATAAATAGCTTTGAATATTTACTGAAAGGAACCTTTCTGTGACCCCTAGCAGAGGGTAGTGTTCTAATACTGCGATATTTTCTAAATGGTTCTGGTTAGTCATATTGTTGAAACAATCCATTTTGTAGATTTTGAACTGTATGGATAGAGAAAGGTACAAAAAAAATTTTAATGTAAGAAACTTGGCTGAAACATGTCATGTGGACAGAAAGACCCGTATTAAAAAAGTACTAAAGAGACAACACCTAAGAGTAAAGGCGTATTCCCAGAGCTTTTAGATCGATCTATCCCCACGGGGAGTTTCACTAGATTACTGTCAGATAATCCGACTTAAATATCTGTCCCGCCGGCGCCTACTACAAGCTGTAAGGGGGTAATTAACTTTCATGCCCGCTCACCTGACAACTATCTAGCGTGAACCCCCGGGGAGTAAAAGTAGATCGATCTAATCTCTGGGAATGGGGTTTAAAATCTCACTGAATTATCTACACATTACTCACATAATAATCACCCATAAAATGATACAATACAATTATTCAAAATATTTACAAAAAAATTAATATTTTACAACATGCATTTTGCTAATTGCAATGACACAAAATCTGGCCTAAGAAAATGTAATCAATTATTTGTCAGATCTTGATTCACTTCATTGGTCAAGAAAATGTCATGCCAGTATTTCATCAGTTTTGTGGATCATCTACCCTTCCCAGGCTGCTTACTAAAGTAATCGCCTCTTCATTGTCTTTATGCACAATGTGGAACATTTTACTGCTACTGGCTAACATAATTACATTGTGTGACACATTCAAAAACACTTGTAGCAAAAAAACTCTACAAAAGGTGCACAATGTGAAGAATCAAAATATTCTACAATGTAAAAGTAGTTTGCACTAGAAATCACAGTACAGAGCAACAATGCATCATTGTGGTGTGTGTGTGTATTTGCATTTCAAAATAAAGTCATCCAAAATGACAGTCTTAATTTTCCGAATGTCATATAGAATGTCATATTTAATTAACTATTTCTGGTAATTAAACATCCTCCCTCTGTCCCCTTACAAAGTACAAATGTACATGTGAGATATAAAACATTGAGAGAGAGATATAATATTCACTACATCAATTAAAATTAAACAGAGAGAAAATGCTCTTAGACTACTAAAAATACCTTTTGGAACTATTTAAGAGAGGCCTAGTTTTATATAAACGTGTTGTTTAAAGCATGGGTCTTGCTCTCTGAATTTTCCCTTTGATTACCATAACCATTATTTCTTTATTAACCCTGACAGCAAGTCAACAGGCAGAGGGAAAATAATTGTTGAATTTTTCTCAGCAGAGATGCTGTTCAGGGTCTGAAGATAGCGCAGCTGGAGGGCAGATGGTGACTCTGCGATAACGTCGGCAGCCTCCTTCAAGGCACGAGCAGCCTTCTGTTCTCCCTCTGCGGCGATAACCTGAAGAATCAAGAAATGCTATGTGAAGATTTGCCACTGTAACAACAGAATCGTTCTGTTTAGAAAACAATGTTTTTTTTTTTTTTTGGCTTCCTTAAGATTTTTGTTGGACATAGTAAACAGTAACTGTCCCATGGATGGCCCTACGAACAACAGGATAATTGCACTAGCATTTCATTTACACGCTCGCTTGTACTTTCGTAAACTTTGATGCGTTCATCCCATTGTTTGAAGCACCATCTGTGGGATAGGTGAATAGCATACAGCGGATGACAAGTAGTTGTAACAAGTACAAAAAGCTGGCAGTACCATTTTACAAAATAACACAGAAAAAATGTGTATTTCACAGTAAACATTATGCATATCTGCAGATTTTCTACATCAAAAATTTTGTCTCATCGTAAATAAATGAAGGAATTGACTTTAAAAAAATCAAAAGTGTACAACTTCAACCAAATCTATATGATCTCTTCACCTTGGCTCTAGCTTCTCTTGCAGCTTCAGCCTCGGCAGCCATTGCCCTCTGCAGCTGGATGGGTAGACGACAGTCCTTCCTGTAAACAAGTATTGGAAAATTAATTTCAAAACTGAACATTTACCAAAAATAATTTTATAAGCAAAGACCTTCAATGATACTTTCTGAATTAGCTTTCACTATTCATGGCAGCATTCTCAATAATGATAATCATAACAGCCATACATTTAGGGACTGTTTAATTTGGCCATACAAAGAATTATAGACCAACATATTTATATTTCAATATTGCTGAATTAAGTTTGGTAATGCGGTAGGTGTGACAGTTGAGACAGTTTTACAATGTGATATTCAACTTGCCTAGAAACAATTTGAATTTCATCTACAAAAACCAGTGATTTAGAATTTATAATGTGCTATCTAGAGAAGAGATTGGTGGTGGTGGTGCGGGGGGAGGGATGAATCTAAAATATAAGCCAATGTATTTCAAGGCAGATCCATACTGAAAAGACTACTTACACCTCCACTCTCTCCACCTTGATGCCCCATGGATCTGTAGCCTCATCCAGGCCAGACTGAAAATAGAATACATTCATTTTTGACTCAGCACATATACATATTAAGCATCTCCAAATAATTTATTTCACAATATTGCAAAGTACAATGTTCTATGGCACACTGAATGTGGCAGTTGAGACACAACTATTTCTGCATAAAATTGCAGTGAACTGATAAAGAAAATTGGAAATGGTTCAATTATCACCAGTATTTTTGTCAGCTGTCCACATGTGAAAATCTAACTTCTTTTATGTAGATTGCATATACTTATTCCACATCACAAAGACATTCGCATTATGTCATGTAATAAAATTTTAAGTACCACGCTGACAATTTTTCAAAGACTTTCCCACATCTCAGCTGTATTGATCCTGCAAACGTTTCACGACAGCCACAAGGAATATTTCAAGCTTGGGTTAATTTGTGTTTATGTCTTCCTTAAAATGTCAGTGAAACCTTTCTGACATACCCCGTCTTTCAGAGAAAATGAAGCAGAAACCTAACTAAAAGAATCTTATGCCTGATGTCAGTTTCCAGAAATTTCTGAATTCCAGGATGCTTTTCGCCTTTTCTAATTTCCAGTAATTTCTGTATTTCCGGATGTTTTTCCCACATTTCTAAGATGAACTTCACTATTCAAAAGAATATAATGCTTACCTTTATCTTTGACATTCATGGTCTAACCAGAGCATCCATTAAATGCAAAACATTTTTGCGAAGCATAAAAGATATCATTACTACAAGCCGAATTTAATTCTCATTTAAAACCATATATAGCAATATGCAGCACTGCTATGGCTGATCTCATTACACATACATGTGGCTTGTATTTTCTTGTGTTAGTTTAAAAGGTATACTATGAATTAAGATGAAATTGTGTGGACAAAAATGCACAAAACGCCATCATGATGATGATTTACAGAAAACCATCTTCCAGGGTAAAATTCACCAAAGGATTCCATTAATTAAAAGAAAAAAAATGTGGCAAACACTATTCTGGTCTGTGTTCAAAAAGAGCCACTCAGGTCTGTCATCCGTTCATAAGATATACAGAACTTTTAGGACCATGTAATACTGGAGCCCTAGGACATCAAATATATAAAACATTCCAGGGTGTGTCTTGAATATTTCAAATGCATTGACAAAACTCATGCATTGAACATAAGATATACTGACCAATAAATCAATATTTATATTTGTCTCCTTAAACTGATGTACAAAGTACATGATCAGGAGGGAAGGGGAGATTATAGTACTTTGGGAAGTATACCAAAAATTACTATGATTAACATGATTAAAACACAAATTTTATGGCTTTATTCATCAAACTTTGTCTTCCTTTTCTCACAAATAAACTACTGACACAAATGGAAAGGATATTTTCATTCGAGTTCAAAACTTCATCATTTTTCCCTGTCTTCACAACTGCCCCATCTTCCACTGAGATATGTTGTACACAAATGTACAGAAAGATTAAGTTCCCCAAATCTTGGTAACATCAACTATTATGTATTCCCTCAGGATTTAAACAAGTTCTTCCAGGAAGATTGATTTTGTCCCATCTCAGCAATTGCTCTCTTTAGAGGGGATGGGGCATGAGGTTCATCTTTTAATACAGTGTTGTGATAGCTTACTCTCTGGCCGTATATGGAAAAGCAATTATATTCTTACAGATGTAGCAAACATTTACGGGATACTAGGGTTATTAATTTATTTTTTTAAGTTATTTCCTCCTTGTGTTATATTTTATTTCCAAGCTGCATGAATTATCTCCCCATCTTGGTAATGCCAGAGTGCCTAACCATCACCAGTGCATTGAAAATAATGATGTTGCAATCCCTTGCGGAATAAAAGTGCACAGATCAATGACTAAGTACAATTATTCAATACTTAAAATAACACTTCTAGGGCTTGTTGCGTCCAAATGAGACCCATTACAAATACATTTGAATTTCACAGTCAAAACATAACCGCCACCACAAATAAGACTGTTGCTATCATACGAGAAGAGAAAACTGAGATCTTCATTCTACAGCAGAAATTGATCATTTTTGTGTAATGCAATCAGGTTATGTATGTGATGTTAATCAGTCTGTCTAGTCTTAGCCATTCACGCCTGTGACAAATTAAAAAACTGCCCTAATTGCAATAAAACCCAGTGGAAAGTGACGATGCTCATGCCAACAAAAATATCTAAAGCAGGAGCTCTCAACACATCAGTCTCAACTGAAACCATTTAGCTTAAAATTTGGGAATCCACTGTGAGCAGGTAACACAGTCTGTGGAATTACCACTGGCCCCAAGCCAAGTGCCAGTATGACTGAAACTGGAACAGGTACTTGCTGCAATAGAGCACTCTACACCTTGTTTAGTATTAGACAGTTATGTCTTGATGCATTCTCTGAAGCCTCAGATCTATCTGATCATCTTGATCTACACATTAACACCCCAGATTGTATTCAAGCTGGTGATATTAGCCCCAAACATTTAGTTCACTTCCCTTTGAAGCCAAAAGTGGCCAGTAATTGAACAAGTTTACAAAAATTTGCTGTTCCAGTGGGTTCCCATGCCTAGATGGATCCAGATGGATCGATCTAATTCCCTGGGGAGTCTTACTAAATTGCTATCAACTTAACCTGCTTAAATATCTGTCACACCTACTGGATCAGCTAGGGGGTAAAGATAATTACCCCCAACAGCTTTACTAGGCGTGACAGACATTTAAGCCTGTTAAGTTGCAATATAGTGGAGATGGATTGATCTAAATATCTGTGGGAATGGTCCCTAACCCTACCTACATTTAAGCCTGTTAAGTTGCAATATAGGGAGATGGATTGATCTAAATATCTGTGGGAATGGTCCCTAACCCTACCTGCATTGTAGAAGATATAGCCTCTCTGTCGGAGAGAATCTCGGCCAGGTTCTTGGTTCCCAGGACATTCCTGAGGCTGGTCTGAGCCAAGAGTTTGGTGGAACCATGAGCATCCTCCACATTGGCTACGGAGATGGTGGCATTCTGGATACGATAATACACCACAGCATCTACAGAGATTGTCACGCTGTCCTTGGTCAAAATCTGAAATTACATGCATATATGTGGAAATGTTAATCTCATTTCATATGAAGTATATGAACATAAGGTCACATTGTGAGAAGCATTGAATAGTATCTTAAAAGAAGTCAGATAGAGCCTGTATTTTGATATTAGAAATGAGCATGTCTTTTAATAAACATGACTACTGTGTTATTTTTTATGTAATAACATAATAAAATTAGTGAAGACAAAAATAAAAAATATATTTATACTGCTATATTATACTTATTGATTTTCAGGGAAAACCCTAAATAAATGATAAAATAACAGATATAAAAATATTTGCTGACATCAACACAATTAATTTTTTTTTTTTGTTTAAGAAACCACTAAAGTTGTGAAAACAAATAATCAAATTTCGCATACATCTACCATTTCTTTTTATAATCTGATGTTTTACTTTAAGTCAATAACATCTAATTATTATCAACCTGGCAATATTTCCCAATATTAATAGATGCAGTAGTACAGTGCTTACAATACTTATGAGACAGCGAATAGCTTAAAGGAGAAGCTGCAATGTCGATAATAACCTTTCGATATCAATAAACAACTTCTTTAAATGCCAGTCTTAGGATAACAGTGAGCACATGGATCTGTTAATGAGTACCTGTAGATGTTTATTACAGACACATGCATTTCATGTGTTCTTTCACAGGCAGAGATCCACCTTTTCCATTATCTTTTCAAGGAAACTGCTATCCAGACATGGATTTCCTTAGAGAACAAACCCATGACCAGAAAACCAATGTATGTCAGTCTGTTGTGTGAAAGAGATGGGTTTTATGACAGATTTCTGCATTTAATGGTAGATTCTTCTAAAAGTCTCCCTGTGCGTAAAGAGGGGGAATTGTATAATCATCAGGAAATGAGGTGTAGTCAAATGACAGGAAGGATGATAATTTAGATAAAGTAGCTGACTAATGTTAACAAATGTTCAAATCCCAAACATACAGTACTGTACTACAGCTCTAAGAGCTCCAAGGCACAGTAAGGCCTTTGAGAGACAGCCTGTTAATGAGTAAAGCCCCCCAGTAGGATATATACTGTAACTACATGCTTGAACTTCTAAAAATATACCTGTACAGACTGTGAGCTATGTATGGGCTCATTCTTCTATGCTGATGGATCTAAATCTGTGGGGACTCTCGCTGAATGCAATCACATTTAGAGATTAACACTCCGTCTATTCTTTCCAATGTACTCATGTAATCATCAACTTTTATGTATTTTACTCAATGCCGTGAGGACGTGTGTTAATCTGTTAATGTGATTGCATTCAACAAGAGTCCCCCGTGGAGACAGAATGATAGTTTTATTAGGAATGAGCCATTTGTTGTTTATGTTGTCCCTAAGACCTGCTGACTATACACTACAGACCAGCAGAACAAAACTATAGACAAACACAGATAAAGCCAGGCTAAAAACACAGATGACACTATTAGAGAGAGAGAGAGAGAGGTATGCAAACTAGTAATACACTTTCCTTTGGTATATGGTGCACACCAACTATGTAGGATGGAGATTAAATTTAAATCTAGAGCCTCCTACAGAATATGAAAGTTAAAAACACATTCTCACCCCACCCCCTCATTAAAAACGATTGAGACCACAAGATTTTCCTTACACAAAGGACCAAAGGTACATGGACACAATGAAAAATATGCAAAAGCCATAAAATGTTTTTTATATCTGCAAATTATTCTTCACATGGTGAATTTCATTGCTTTATACATTTCATAATTATAGCTGAAACAATCAGCAATCAGTCAGCTTGTATTAAGGCTGTCTAGGTTTCAGGAAGTTCAACTCAGATAAGCAACATAAAATTTATATCTAATTCATTATTTACTACAGATAATATGAAGTATGCATTGTCACGGCTCAAGGACATTTTTGCCTCTGTTTCAAATATTTAAGTTTGTCAAAAGAGGCTGATAATGCTTACCTCTTCTGCAAAATTGTGTTCAGATTTTAGTAGCCAGAAACCCACAGCTAAACATACATTCGTTACATTTTGTATTGGATCATTCTTGTACCCATCATACACATACATGAACTGAGAACAAGAACCATTCAACCATTTTAATGCCAGAAACAAAACCAAAAATATGGCACACCACAGCTCAAAACGATGCAGTTTTCCTTGATGCATATTATATATATCCAATATTCACCCAAAAAAAACAAAATAAATAAATAAATAATAAGTTTTTACATTTACTTTAAAGCACCTGAAAACTTGCTGGGCAATTAATATGTTCTGCAGCTGCAAAATGTACACGATACACATCGCAACAGATGTTTATTTTCCTAATTCAGAATTGATCCTGAGATACTAAATATTTAAATCCTATGGATGGATTTGCAGACACTGGTAAGTAAAAATCAAAGTCTATGTACTCTGTTCTATGCCTTTTGTGTAATCAGGCATTCTCTAATCTAACAAGCTATATTATTACACCTGACTAGAAATGATGCCATCTATGTAAGGCAGCTGAAGGAAGTGTTAGTGTGAGGTGTAAACATATACTATGGAAATCAACCGAGAAAGCTGTTAATGAGGTTTTCAGCATTGCATGATGCTATACGAGACATGAAAATGTGTGAGAATCTGTTTACGATGGATTTTGTTTTTTATGCAATGGGTGAAAGACACTAGGAATGCTGTCTTGGAAAGCAATACAAAAATGACACCCAAAAAGCTGTGTAACAGACTGAAAACAGACAGAAAACAACCAGAAAATATATCAATTGATAAATTCTATTTCTTTTTTTTTTTTTTTTGCTGCATCACGCTCTATTTCTGACCCATTCTATCCTCCAAATTAAATCTTGCTTGATTTTACTCAAAGTCACAAGACTTTAGGCTGTCCCAGAAGACTCCCATTCCAAAACATTGCAAGGTGCAAGTGCTAAATAGTAATAAATAGATGACTTTATTTTATTAATCTTCCCATTTATCCCATTTACATATCACAGGTGCTATCACATCAAGGGCCAAACACAATATGTTCTGACAATGCTGTTGTTTCAGTAAAAATTCTAAAAATTCTTTCTTAGTTGAAAAACTAGAGGTCTGCTGTCTATGTATTTTGGGAAAAGCTTGGGGCTGAGTAAAAGGGGCTTTGAGGTTAAAAAATACATCATCCATTACAAGACATGACTATTACTGTCCTATCGTGACTGAGTGAAAGGAAATATAAATGACCCGTTCAATACCAATACAGCTGCCTGTATTCAGCTACGGGAACCAGGGTGGGTTGCCATGGCAGCAAGACAATACAATCCGTCCGAGCAGAAACATGAAGACTTATTATTACCGAAAGTAAAATCAATGAGCTATAGTATCTACTTCACTACTTCTACATTATTCCTAAAGTGGCATAATAAACAGCTCTGAGGATGTTTGACGTTTTGAGGAATCTATGCCTCTTCACAATCCACTATCTTCTGCAGATTAAGCAAAACATTGTTGTCCGTTTCCATATGAACTCGGTCTAACCACCAGATCACTAAGCTATGTTATATATGGCCATGAAAATCAATATACAACAAAAGTTTTATGCAGCTTAATTGTTGGGCAATTTGCAGTTACCTATCAATATTAGCTCTTTGCATTTGCATTGAATTCCACTTCCAACCAGCAGGTATCCATAGCTATGACATTTCTCCCACCCTTTTTATCCACTTGATATAGATTGACTAATAGACATGCTGTGTTTATAAGTAAAATGCTAATAGACAAAGAGGCTGGTTCTGTCTCATCAAAAAGTTGGTCCATTAGCATAAAATTTTCAATCCTGAGTAAAATTCAATTAAAATGAGTCTTAAACCACAAGCTATCTAACTGCAATGTTGCCTTCACCATAATCCACTTAAATTTCAGAAACTTCATAAAATTTAATCACTGTGTATGGTGCCACATGACAGCATGCTTTATTCCCATTTTTTATGATAATTATGCCACTTAAATAATTTTTATTTTCTCATATGTATTTAGCTGATGTTTAAGAAAAATCTAAACCCAAAGAGGCTAAATTCGAAAACGCTCAGTATTCAAGGTGTAGGTTTATCCCATGTCAACCAATTAGTGCTGGCAAACTGGAGTGCCTCAAAAGTTACACCAGCTAAATTTACTCACTCACTCAATAATTTTAAAGCATAGATCTATACAGGGCTTCAATCCCATACCATAGATATGATGAATAATGGAAAAAAAATCATGTTCTGCATTAAGGAATGGTAGATGATGGTATAAATTGCACTAAATCCATTATTTCCACATTAACTGTTCCACTGCAAAAACTGATTGCTTTACAGAATGGCAATATGACTTCTGACTATATTTTCACACAAGCTTTACATGAATATATAAATCAAACTAATACACATATAAAATCCCACAATTCAGACTTCATAGCATCATGAAATATAACCGAGTTCATTTGATGTTTTGTAGGCTGTGTGCAAACAAACCTTAATAAATGGTAGATACTCACAGTGCTCAATAATTAAGCAGTTTAAAAATGATTTATAGATCATTTCAAACACGTTTTTGTGAACAGACCTGCGTGCTAGCAATATGTACAGAACTTGCTGTGTCTGTACATAAAAAGTGGTGACAACATTTTGGTGCACTGAATAGCAAAGGCAGCTGCTTACCTGTTTTTTTTTAAGTTTACATATTAAACCAAGCAGAGAGAGAGAGAGAGAGAGAGAGGGGTCTGGTGGACTGACTACGACACCATGATGATTATGGAAAAGTCACAACAGTAATCCAACCACTTTAAAGTAGGTGAATATTTGGAATGCTACTGTGGGGATGTAAACATAGTATATTATGAAGTCCCTTTTTTGATATAGTTTATAGAGATCTTTGTACTTAGATCAGGTCTAGGATGCAGACTGTCTTGAAAATTTACCTCCTGTGGTGGCACATCGAAGGACACAGTTCTAAGATCCACTTTGGTGTAATCCTCAATACAAGGCAGCACGAAAAACATCCCTGGAAGTAAAAATTGCATATCGAATTAAAAATGGAGGCCTTAACTATTTACCTGTGTTTTTCTTTAAATCACCACTATGTTCAAAATATGTTATGGTATATAAGTAGCAATTATTCATCATTTGTAGCAATAAATTAAACTTCACATCATGGTAACACAAAGCTGGCTGTTGTATAATGATCTGTGCATGTTATCCAAACCCTGGAGCAATGTGTGATTCTTTGGAAAGAATAAAATGGAAAACCCTTTTTTTTTTCAAAATTTCACTGTAACATTTAATATTCTTGATGATGAAAAATGAAAAGGGGCAACAAATACACAGGATTTTTAGGGATGAAAGCATAGTTTTCAGTTTTTCTTCACTATTTTCCTAACTTGAAAATATAACCTTATATATATACTTGAATGAAATGAATCTAAACATTTTGCACATGTCTGGATACAGAAGTCATGTTTCTAAAAGGTACAAAATGCAGTAAATTACAAAAATTAGACTTCAATAAACCACAATATCAAAAGGTTGGAAAGCATACACTGTGTACCTAATAGGAATGTAATGGTCAGAAAAAAGTTAACAAATGGTCAACATGGTATAAAGAATGCCTCGAGAAAATCCACTTTTGACGAATGCTGACATAAAAAGTATGTACAGTTTAGAGGGTAATTTTATTCTATTATGCTGTAGTACGTATACAGATAAGCATAGGGATCGCTGCACATCACAGTTTACACGTTTTACCTGTTTGAGCTTCTAGAAAGAAAAAAAAAAAGCTTTTAGAATAGTGATTTTGGTAAGGCTAATTATTTCCCCTTCCATCTATAACACAATGTCAATGTCTAATGAACTTCGAGAGAATTCTTATATGAATTATTTTTTCTGTATTAAAGCGCTATGCATTTATCTGTATCTTTAACCATGGATCGAGCAAAAACAACAGACTGCCCATTCTATATTCATTGAAGTGGCATGGATACAGAATAGAGCACAGTGGCATGCAGACTGTCGTTTTCTGGTCAAACCATAGTTGAAGTCAGATAGAGCACTTGTTGCTATGCTTTACGAGAATTAGTGGAGATATTCAGGCTCCTGGGCCACTGAAAACCGACCTAGGGCCATTGAATCGCTGAGGTCACTGGCCCAAGAGCAAGTAAAATGTCATGTGCCAAATTATCTTTGCAATATTTACCGATATCGGGGGGCCAGTATTGAAAAAAGTTAGTGTCAAGCCCTGATAATTATCACCTCTATTTTGCATGTATATCTATTTCATCTACCTGTAGGTAACTCATCAATTTTACTTTAAGTATGGAAAAAATGTAACTACTTATGTCTATTTGTCTACAAATTGGCTTTAGTGTACAAAATAATTCCAAAGAAAAAACTACAGAAAACATGTAACCTAAATTCATATATAGACTTATTTGTGTCATAATCTGTATTTAAATAGATATTTTATATAATACTGTAACATCTTCAGGTTATGACTATGGTGCTTAAAATAAAAGGGGGGGAAAACGGCTGCAGCTTTAACCTCACCATGTATCCATATACACTATAGGAACAGTCCAAACCAATAAGTCTTGTTTTCAGGGGTAGCACTTACACTAAACAAAAAGGGCTCGATTTGACTTGTTTTAGTCAAATTATAACCATTTGGATAACAAATTGATAAAAAAAATAATTTGGCTAAGTGAAAAAAAATTGCTAGCGCTACCCCAGTGCTTTACCCTTGCATTCACCCCAAGTTCCATCTCATATAGCTTTCTTACCTGGTCCTTTGGCACCTCCTCCCACCAGGCGACCCAGGCGAAATATTACAGCTCTTTCATATTCCTGAACAACCTACAGATGATAGAAAATGAATTTAAGGAAGTAATGATGAAAGAAGAGAATGGGGATAATATGTACACATTTATGTATAGAAATAATGACTGGCAAAGTAACATCAGACACAGGCAGATGTGAGAGGTGTTTATTTTGGTCCTTATTGCAAATACCAGCACAGTGCTAACTTCATGATATGTTTAAGAGATAACAACTCTGTATGATATCCATATTTCACGATAAAACATTGTAAAGAACTCCTATGATAGAAATGTAATAAATTCTATTTTACCAACAAAATGGCAGTTATCACAATTAATCTGAAAACCGTGGTTTCCAATGGACCACAAAACCTTCAAAAATGGCCATCTTCTGTAATAATCTCTAGAGGTTATTACAATAAAGCAAACTTTTAAGATTAAAAAAAAAGGAATTTACTTTGAATGTTGGAATGGCTTCATTAACCATTGGGGAAAATTATCCTTTACCCCAGGAAAAATTTTTTTTGGTTGAAATTATGATACTATATTGCATGCCATTTAAGATATAAAAAATCCCAATCAAATTCATAATTCATCATTTGTAGATATAGAATAGAATAGTCTTTAATTCTGTAGTAATGTGACAAGTCTGGAAAACTGCTTTAGTATGCCCCACAATACTATAAACAGTTAAGTAAATCAATTATTGATCATTCATTTAGATCTTTTCTTTTCTTTATGTAGAGAAAATATTGATAAAAAGACTAATGAGATGAATGTTTAAGCACCTAGTGCTGGTCATACGGTCAGCCTTCTCATACTTTGTAAACAGAGTTGCTCATTTAACCTCTAGTAGTAAGCACGTTTGACCATAGCTACCAACAAACAAAACAAAGTCCAGCCAGTAACAGTTTTTGACCGGCGAAACTCTCACCTATCAATAAAAGTCAAATAAAGATCCTTTTCAGATGAGGTATTTACATTAGAACATATGACCACCTATTGTAGTGTATTGTGTTTGCTTGACTGTGCTGCGCTTACATAAAGGATTTGGAGTGGGGATTTCAACATTAGGTCACTGTTATGTACATACATCATGGGCTTGTGTTCGATAAAGAGAATTTTTTGTTAAAATCTAGCTTGAAAGTTTTTTGTTATACTTTGACTGACTTCAAGTCCGAAAATCCATACTTGTACTTCGCAATTTTGGCTTACACAATTTAAAATGCCACGATAAAAAATGGATTTTCTTGTCACTTAGAAACTAAACCAGATCTGGCTAACAGTGGGATAGTGGGTAAACTTCCAGTCAGTGCACTTTTCACACAGGGTGCTACACAGTGAAAAAACAGTGCCCCTATTACCTTGACAAGAAAAATTTGAATCTCAAAATAGTGATCATAGTCTTTAAGTACCAAGTAAATGGAAGTCAACATTTTTCTTTTGAATCAGAATCACATACAGTTTCTTTTAACGATCCAATTTTGCAATTTTGTTTATTCCTTACATTTTATGAACTTGAACATTATTATATAATTTGATTGATATCATTACTCATAGAAATTGAAGATTTCACTACATCTATATTTTTGGAACAGTGTGTGTGCGTGTGTGTGCGCATGCGTGTGTGTGTGTTGGGGGTGTGGTCCTCCGTTCAATCATCAATCATCAGCCAGTGTTTCTTATAAAAAAAATCCTCACCTTCACACAGGAACAAAGAGAAAATGGAAATGTGCAGACAACCAGCACCCATGATATGAACACAAGTATTGAACCACAGCAGCCTATGTCCTCCTCAACTTCTTGTCCTAAGATAAATTGATGAAAAAATTGTGAAACAAAAGTGTTTACCACATATTTACATAGAAATTCACTCACTAGCAATGAAAGGGATGATACAAGTTAAAATATCAAATGACACTTCATTTTTTTAATTTAATGTTTTTAATTGAAAAGATAGCAATAACAAATAAATAAAATAAAATAAAAAAAAAATTAAATGAAAATAAAATAAGTAATAGATTAATAAAATTTAAAGTGTCAAAGGTCGCAGTGCCAAAATCTTTGTACTTCTAAATATTGACAATTGCATGTTTGCATGTTATCATAAACTAGTATTACAAATATTCTTAACCTTTAATTCTTCTTTCCTGGTCACAAGACTTTTTTTCACTTATAATAACAAATACCATGCTGTTATCCTACATCAACCTACAAGTTATTATTTATTTAAAGAGTACTAATAAAATACTGTTGGACTGATATTGTTTTTTAATCTTTGAGTGTGTGGGTGTGGAGAGAAGGGGGTCATGTTTTATAGATATCACCTGTGGAAATATTTTTTTCTGGTTAAATGGGTAGAAGTATTTTCGATCATATAAATCAAATACATGATTAATGACAATTGCTCTGTATTGTTGGTTGATATTACACAATCTGGACTTAATAACATTATAGTGCCTATTGCAAAAGAGACCTCTTTATCTTATCAAAAAACCTGGGAACGTCGATGACTATTTCACAATCATAAATGCTAGGCTTTACTGGTCACAAGATTATTTCTCACTCATAATTACAAATACATCCCATTTTGTCAACCTACAAGTTACTACTCATCTAAAAAGTACTCATAAAATATGATTAGATTGATTATTTTCTTTGAGTGCGTGTGGGAGGGAGGGGGGTCATGTTTTTTAGATATCACCTGTGAAAATAATTTTTCTGGTTAAATTGGTAAAGTATTTTGGGTGAAATAAATTAATCAGTTGATAGTTAATATGATTAATAACAATTGCTCTGTATTGTTGGTTGATATTACGAAACCTGGACTTCAGTTAAAATACAGTCTCTATTGCAAAAGAGACCTCTTTCTCTCATCAAAAGTCTGGGAACGTCGATGGCTATTTCGCAATCATTAATGCTAAACTGATCAATTATGCATAACGGGGATCGGAATTTGGCTCGTTCCACCAAAACAGTGTTCCAGAGCAGTGCGCGTATCTCCCCCGCCACAAACACAATATATTAAAACAAAACAGAAAAAGACATGTACATACTTCTTTTAAATAATGAAGATAACATTCAATCCTTTATAAAATAGAGAGAGAGCGAACAATGCAGAGCATGACTGTCGGTGAACTCGTGTCATTTGAGGTTTGCATTCAAGAGATAATCCTCAAACACCGCCTAGCGACGACGCCCTTCTATTCTACTATAAACCATAGTCTCTGGAGCTTGTAAAACAACAAAAGCAGAGTTCGCAGATTGTATAACTGTATATTTATCGAGGGTTATTTTATCAAGTGACCACAGACACAGTACTAACCTCCAATAATCGTAACTTGGTCTTTAACCTCTCCACGACTCCCGTAACTCGCCATTAGGTTCTGTGTATCTGGTTCCGGTGTAACTCTGTTACTGCCTACAGACATGTACTATATACGAAATGATAAGATCACGGTGACCTTATTTCCAAATTTGTTTTGACCAGCTATCGTACACCAACACCTATTTATGTTATGCCCGAATGCGCAGAATGTATTTTGTGTAACTAGCTATATCATGTGACTTAAATAATTTGGAAACAGCCAATCAGAATACAATGCGTTAGTTGTGACAGCAATGTGGAGGTGCCGTGCTGCGGTGACCAGTTTTTCTCATTTATTTATTCTTGGACTCAGTATATAGACCTATGGCTATTGACTCCAGTGTATATGTATATTTCATTTATGTATATTTTTGTATAACTTGTCAGAGTAAAAAGAAAAACTATGCATGGATTTTGTAAAAATTGTAATGGAATGCATAAAATATTTAAATCTAGACCCAAACTTTGTTATTTATTGGAAAATCTAGACAGGTCAAACGCAAGAAACGGTGATAAATATTGATAAAAACCATTAAAATTTTACAAATTGCTCTTGGGTGATAAACTTCAAATGCCCAGATTAATGTCCAGTTGACACTGGATTAGTTCTGAAAAATTTAAAGGCACAATCAATATCAATTAACTAATGGCGTCTTCAAGTCAATGATACGCAGTAAGTTGCAGATATAAATCAACCTTAATTCATATTTGATTCGTTTTATAGTTTCCTGATATTTACTTGGTACGATTGCTTACTCCAACTGTTGCTTTGTGTCATTTGGAACACTACATGTATCCACGCTCAGTTTTTTCCTAGGAATGAGCTACTCTTCCTTTTTTATTTATTATTTTTCGCTGGTAAAGTATCAGAATGTGGTTTTATAGCGACACACCCCTAAAATCTGCTACTCATCCTCGATCCACCTTTGCTAAAGTCGGTCAAGTGTAAGCCTTATACAGGTGGGTGTAATACCTGGACATGTATTTACGAAACTACTGGCCTAAAAAAGTATTAACAGCTTCAAAATACTTCAAGCACAGCTGCATGTGTTTGAACGACAGCAAGGGCTCTCCGCTCATGCAATGAGAAGATTGCGTTTGCGAATCTTTGGTCAAGATGCTGAGCGCCAAATCTTTTGTATCATAGACATTTGAGCCGAAAGTTAAAAAGAAAGTTTAAAAAGTTTACAAATGCGGTGTGCTGGCCTTGCTCGTTAGGTGCAATGCTTCCTTTTGCCCACAACTTTGAGGGTCTCCAACTCCAATCGCGACCAGTTCTTAACATACTTTTGCCAGCTCTTCATAGAGAAAACAGTTCCCTGTAAAGTTCAAAAGCATACTTTCCTAGATCTCGTCAAATCGGCCTGTCTAAGCAAGGTCTTGGATATGATTAGGCCTACTTATACAATTTTTAATTGAAAAATTTAGTTGTAAATGGCTGACCAGTCACTTGGAACTCCACGTCTGTCATTCTCAATCTGTACTTTTCATAAAGAAATATCAACATCAGGAGTTTTCTTTTCTTAAGGTCTTGAGAATGATAAACAGCTTTGCACTGAATATGGTCTAGAAATATGACTCCAGGACATTTTCAAACGCGGATAGCATACTTTAAATTAAATACTGTCTCTCAACTGCATATAGCAATCAGGGTCTCTTGTAATGAATCGAGTAAGCAAATATAATTAACACTGCTCTGTTTTATTCATAAAAATGAAAAAAAAATTCAATAAACACGGCGACAAGGAGTCATGCCGGCAGAGGCAAAACATGATGCCAATTTTATACCTCTTTTACATTTTGAACCTACTGGCACAAGTGTCCAATATTTTATTTGGTATTTACCGGTATCTAACCTGTTATAGTGAAAGGTTTTTCAAATTCATGAATTAAACGGTTGTACAAGAGCTATTCGTTTTCTTTTCTTTTTTCTTTTCATAATTTTCTTTTTCAATGTTTTAAAACTAGATAGAAATTATAATTTAAAGGTTAATTATTCGTCATTATATGAAAAAATGATATAGAGGTTGCGCATGCATTGAACGACATCAGAATTGCCAGATCCAGATTTTTTATTCGCCTTCACGCAAAAGGTGTAATTATGGAGATACTTTTTGTTGACTGTCAAGACAAGACTAAATGTAAAATTAGTAAATAGTAGGCCTACAGACTGAGAATTTTATTGCCACGTGCACATGTTAAACAGCTATAAGAGTTCCTATTTAAATGTATTGACTGAACATATGTATTTTCCAATTTTAACATAATTTAAAATGACAAAAATTACGCAGAGGATGATCTAAACATGGACAAAATTATTATGTCCAAGATCTAAATAAAGAGGGCAGAATCGGCCTTCAAATGCATTTATGACGTGAGTGGAGTGGTAGCAGTTCTTGGAACAGCGCCATAATCGATAGACCTTGCTCTTGCCAATGAGAGCGAAACTGTGTCGGTTGGGTGTCAATCGACAATTGTAACACGTTTATTGTGCGACCACACACACACAGCCAGCAAGCAGAACAATACTATGGCATCTAAAAAGGGCGAATTTCAACCAGTTATGGAAAGTGAGGCTGATAATGGTGGATACCACGGCCGCACTACAACCGGTGAGTATATAGCATTTGGAAGAAGACGATATAATAACAACATAAGATTACTGTGACTCATCTATATGTGCATAGCTTGTTTACAACACACAAAGAGCTAAAAATAGCCTATGCGTCCACCACTTTACAATACATGTGGGACGCACAGCTGGGTTTTTGCACAGGATGATATTTTAGTATAGAGCAACTAAATAGTTGGACATGTGCAAGAGCATCATGTTCTATGAGTTGTCGGATGCGTGCGGGTTTTGTTGTCCTTTTTGATCGCCTTTTCATTGTCATTGATACACCTAAGTAATGTTATTGCACTGGAGAAATCGATGACATTGACAGGTGGTGGGCTACTAATGAGAGCATGTAACTTCTTCAGTTTAGACAACAAAGGGCTGGAAATGGGAGGGGGGTGTACTGGATTCTTACAAACTCATTTAATACATTTATAACCATTTAGAGGATGCAACTTGCTGGTTGTTATAAGCTGGTTTGTTTAGTGTTAAGTGCTCTTCTTTCCCTTGGGTGAGGGGATTTCTTCTGGTCTGCTATTTCACATATAGGGTTTGTTAAGACATTATCAAGAATTTGTAATCAGTATTCAAGGGCACCTGCAGACATTTGAAAACTCTAAACACAATTAACGGATGGAGAGTGACATTAACTCTGATGACACAGAGATAAAATATCCATAAACAGCCTGGATAATAACAACAGACAGGATATATTTGCTAGAGAACATCCTAAAACAGAAAGTGGTATATTTTTTCTGGTTGCTTATTAATATTCTAATTTTTCGGCCCAAAAAGCCAATACTGCATCAACAGTAGAGCACTGCACTTAATCTCTTTATTTAATCAGGCTTTTGGGAAGAATATTGTATTTAAGAATTGTTGCCATATTTCTGTGGTTTTGTTCAATTCCCTCTCTGGGGTAGCACTAGCAATTTTTTTCGCTTAGCCAAATCACCACATTTTTGACAATTTGTTACCAAAATGGTTATAATTTGGCTAAAACATGTCAAATCAAGCCCTTTTTCTTTAGCCAATTTAAGTCAGTTTTAGCATTTGGCTAAATTGGCGAGTGCTAGGGCTACCCCAGCCTCTTTCGCCCTTAACATGTTTGATGGGTATCGTTAAGTGCATATTTCAAGCTATAGTATATAGCCTTTTATGGAGAGACACTGTGTGTATATATGGCATATATCCATCATCAGTGTGGCAGTGTCTGTTGTTGCCATTATCATTGCTGCTACTGTCCCCATTGCTGTGCATTTCTCTTATTAACCATGTAACTCATTATTTTCATGCAAGAATACATGATTCCAACATGGACTAACATGTAGCTCAAGTTTAAAAAAAGCTCGATGGGATTATATTTGTATCATTTTCTTAATTATGTTGCCTCATTTGCTTGCAATAAATGTGATTAAATTGTCTTTATTATCATTATGATTATTATATCATTGTTATATGATCTATTTTTAAAATTGATCTTGTCTTATCACGAAGACAAAAGTCATTTGACTACCAGTTTTCTTCTCCTATGAAGAGATTCATATATATCTTTTCTCTGTAGTTGTTCATATTTTCTGATTCCCAAGAGGGAGATGCCAATTCACTTAGGTAATTGATTCAGTATAATGGCCAGTGGAAGAATTTATGTGGTGACCCATATAAAGGCATTTGTAATAACTGTAATATATGCCTCTCCTTCTCCCCCTCCCCCCTTCAGTTGCTCCACTTGGTTGCGTTCTGCACCATTTAAATAAGGTTCCATTCCCAGACCCTATCGTACTAACTGTGGATAGGTCTATCTCCTAGGGGATTCTAGCTTAATTGCAATCATTTTAAGCAGCTTAGATGTCTGTCACGCTATCGTTTAGCAGCTTTGGTAGGTGTGTCAGACTTCTAAGCCGCTTAAGCTGAAAGCAATATAGCATGAAACTCCTCGGAGATCGATAGATGTAGGTATGGGAACCCAGTTTTAGGGTGCATTCCCAGAGATTTAGGTTGATCCAGAGATTTAGATTTATATCGACCTAACTCCCTGGGGGTTCACGCTAAATTGCAGTCAGCCGAGCGTGCACCATAGTCAATTACCCCCTTACAGCTTTTAGTAGGCGGGACAGACGCTTAAGCTGGCTAAGCTGACAGTAATCTAGTGAGACTCCCCACAGGGATAGATCAATCAAAAATCTATGGGAATGGGGTCTTAATCTCGTTTTTAGATAGAACTCCTGGAATTAGGCCCTCTAATTTGAACTTTTGTGATGAAATGTTTGTGTTCCAAATGGGAAATGAAAACTATCCTAGCTACAGTGCTATAACCTAATCCCTGCTCAGAAGTGTATATACTGGTAATAAAATGAAATAATAATTATCCTCGTGAGTTAGACTATATTTTGCATCTGTAAATTGATGATGAACCTGACCTGTGGTGCACTATCCCTCATGAAACAATAGAGAACATTACCATATCTGATAATGGTTATCATTAGGACTAGTAGCTGAATGATAGCCCTTAGGAATAAACAACATATCCAAAGCATTGTTTGTACTCTGTTCAGCGACTGTTCTCATGAGCGCATTTATTTTGCCCTTATCAATTATTGTTGGTTCTGTGCTTATGATGATGGGATAATATTGTGGGAGAATTTGTATGAAGTCGTAAGAATCTGCTCAGTAGAGGTGTCAGAATTGATTGCAGTTGAAGATGATCCTGCTCAAAATATCTCTTGGGGGGGGGGGGGGTAGCCCCACACCCACTCCCACTCCCATGCACCCCACAGTAGAATAATGATAAATTGTACAGCACAAAAAGCACAAAAAATGGTGTTTTTTGCAGAACCCACCTAGCTTATGCCATGGTAATTATCAGTTTATTCAGCTACTTTAGATGTATATGTTTAAAAACAAAAAAACAGGCATTCAGGCACGGTCAGCTCATCACTCTTATCTTCCAATTCAGTAGCGGCTAACATAAACTGATGTCTGGCATAACCAAGCTATTTTGAACAATAAAAAGCTTTTACCTATGAATCCACAAAAATAAAACACAGGAAGTCAGGACCATGTTCCAAGTTCAGGCTTGCTGTGGTTTCACCACTGGTAATTGAAAGGTGAAGTGGAGGAGATGGAGATGATAGAAATGGATACTTTGCACCTGATTAAGAGATCTCGCACATGTCTTAACAGCACAAGAGATGTACTAGTAGTTTGGTTCTGGTGAAGTCTTAAATCAGCTGTGTTGGGCGTAAAGCTAGCTACACAGTATATCAGGAAAAGTGTACCTTCTAGAGCTTGACAGAGGCAGCCATAAAACAACTAGAGGGAAGATGCATCATACCAAAACACTCAGGATGAAAACACTTCATTATCTAGAACAGATGGTAGATAATTGAAATACATTGCATATTTGGTCTGAAATTATACATTTAAAATTATACTCCACATAATTTTCAGAGAAAACAAAAAAGAGGCATGTTAATTTGTCAATCTGATTGCATTCACAAGAGTCGATGCAAAGCTGGATCAATTTAGGCAGAACAGTAGTATCATTGGGAATGGGTCCTAACTCCTGAAAAGTGTCAGTCTTGGACTGAGTGGACTGGGTAGATAACCAGCCGGCTACAGAGAGGAGAGTAATGGAAGTCACATTGATTTATTGTAAAATTGTGGTACGCTGTGCTACTGTGTAGGAGAGATATGTGGATGTTTTGGGTGAAGGTTCCTATGTATAGTCTATGTCAATACACTCTCTGAGATCAGTTTCACTTGTCTGTATTAATTATCACCACACAGAATATCAGACATGCTGAAAGTGTCAGTCCTTCCTGTTATGGATGAATTTTCGAGAACAAGTACAAAATTATCTTCAAAAATCCTTCGATCCAGCAAGTCCAATTATCTGGCTTTTTAAAAAAAGTTTTTACCATATCTGCAAGGTTGGCTATGAAAAGCTGGAGACATTGCAATACTGGCCTTGGGTGCCATAAAAGAGGGTAGTGAATACCCCCTCCCCCTTTAATCGCCAATCACCAAGAATTAAAACAGTTCAATCACCAATAACGAAGATTTTAGATATATTCAAGTCAATCACCAATAATTCCTGAATCACGTTTCACGCAGAATATTGGGCTCAAATAATGTATCATGCTAGAAAAATAAGGCCAATCATGTGGAATGCAAAAGGTATTCCCTCATAAAATAATGGCTTACTCTAATGCTTTAGGGAAGGAACGATTGTACCACGTGCATTATCACTGTGATTGGAGTTATCTACTATATAGAGGACTACATGTGCAAGTACAGAGAAGGCAGAGTATACAACACAGAATGGGCATGAAGCCAAGCTATACTAGATCTGTTTTATCAAACTCATCAGTGGAATTACCTGCAAGAAAGAGTGTATAAGGAACTGTTGATTAAAGAAGGGGAGAAAGCTATCAAGAATATGGGGCAGAATTAATGGTCTCTGATAAGTGTAATTTCTGTTTTAATGAATGCAATTCAGAGTGTAGTATGGTGGCTTGCTTGCTTAAATGACTTCAGTTACTTTTAATAGCTTAGTTATAGTTAAAGAGGTAAATTAAGCGGAATTTATTTTGAAGTATTTATGTTACATCTGAATGCTTAAAGGGTTAATTGAGATTTCCTTAAGGCAATAGGCAATGAATAAAAGAGAAATAAAAGTATATTAGCAATTCTGATTTTATTATGGCTTAACGCTTACATTTTTCAACTTAGATTGTTGCATATAGTAACTGTGCATATATTGCATTATGCATACATTACAAACAAACCAATCACTGATATTAATTAATTTCATTAATATTATAAATTATAAATTAAATAATTTATGGATTTCTTAGACACTGTAATGGATGATTTACTGCTTATACACAATCTCACAGACTTATCTGGCAACGATAACACATGCAATATATACATTTATAAATGTAGTCCTCACCACTGGTGTTTTGAGAAGTTGAACATGCAGACATTTAGATTCTTAGAAGTGTGGGCTGAAAAAGTTTGTATTAAGTTTATCTTAAAATAATTTTTAGACAAAACTGGGTGTTTTTGCACTATAGTACCAGTCACTTACTAGTAAGTCCTATTTGCTGCCACCCTTTGAAATTGGTTAATATGAAAAGCCAGTCTTAACATTATTCATGACCAAAAAAGGTTAGTCCCCTGCTTGGATATAGTAGACATTTGAAAAATTCTTTTAAAAAATGATTGTGCAAAAACCTTTGTTTACTCTTTGTTAAACAAACCCAAAACTCATTTAAGTAGACCATTTCTGGTTTATTTTTTAGCTAAGTAAACTCAAAGTATGTTGACTAACTTTCAACAGTGGTTCTTTTGTTGGAACTGCAGGCCTTTACGGCATAGCACTTCAGGCAGAATTGGTTGCTGTGATGTCACAACTACTGCAATTTTATAAAATTCTTCTTGAAATTTTGAGAGCTGATTAGAAAATTATTTTCATTTTACATTGAGTATCCCAAGATGAGAGAAAACAAGGGTTCTGAAGAGCATAAACCCTTTTTGTCACATTTCAATTTAATTTATACTATTCTGTTATATATTTAGAAAATGTCCTAGTTTTATTAATCTACTGTAAATCCTAGATGCTATACATGTTTCATATCCAAATTGATTTGAATCAATTATAAAAAAGTTGCTGAAAGTAGTTTGAATACACTTTGTTTTCAGAATGTCATAGTTCATTTTAAGTATTCTTCAGTCCATGCTCTCCCTGATCCATTGTTGAATACAAATTTATTTTTAGAGGGGAGCAAACTTTCTGGAATAATTGACATGTGTATCAAAGACATGATACTTCCTAAGTAAACAAAGTCTTTAGCATTCTTTGACTGCATTGCATTGCATTGTTGTTAACATTTGGAGCGTAAGAAGGTATGAAGTCTTTCTAAAACCTCTCAACTGGTAGAGCCAAGTGTTGATCAGCGTTTTATTTATTAAGGACTACATCAGTGACTGACATTGATATGTCTTTCAAAACCAATGTGTCTGAAGGTGTTTTGTAATTATACTACAAGGGGAGTGTGCTTTGGCAATTAACCATCTTCTGTTTGAGCGGCTGTTGATTAACTGAACATGTCAGAATGTTGGGGGGGGGGGGGGGCAGTTAGTTTAAAATGTCTTTCTTGATAACCATGCAGGCTATAAACTTGTCAATGATATCAGGTATACTCCCTGTTAAAATTGGAAATAGTTGACCAAAAATTATAACTTATTTGTGTCAACTGCATGGAAGGAATGCACAGGTCTGTGTGTGTGTGTGTGTGTGTTTACAGCATAATGCTGACCTCATTGATTGTTGCGAAAGCCAGCATATTACACATCTATTGTTATGAAAACTTATCTTTCTTGTGGCAAGGTTATTTAAAGAAGCTAGGTTGACATTCGGGTGGGTAGCATAGCTAAGCAACAAACATATTTGCATTAGGCATTTATGTAAAGCCATTGAAAAAGGTCATAGTTCAAGGCTGTTCAGGTAGTCAAAGCTCAGCGTAACTCTTTCTTTTAAGCCTGGGAGAGATTAGTGTTGTACATTTTCATTGCACCTGCAAATAGAGCCATCATCACACCAGGAAAGAAAGGGACTGGCATTGAAGTGAGAGACTGTTCATGTCTAAGGTTGAAATAGAAATGGAGTATGATCAAAGCACATCGAGTCAGAAGGCTCTGCACAGAAGACAGCAAAATGTTCATCAAATGGGTTAGTATATATAATCTTCTCATTGTTATAAGTTATATTCTCACCTATTTGTACATGATTTTTCATTATTTGGAACACAGAAAGGTTATTTGTTTCCACTTAGGCTAGGGATAAAACTACCTGAGGAGTGATATATATGTGCTGATAAACCTTTTCCTAAGTTTTATTTTTTGAATGTGTAAACTTCATTTGATCCGTTTTTTTAAAGGTATTTTTACATATAACATATAACTCATTTGCAACATGTACTGAAGAGTTTTTTTGGGGGGTAATCCAATCAGTATAGTGTGTATGTGTGTGTGTGTGTGTGTGAGAGAGAGAGAGAGAGTAAATGTAAATGTAGAGGTCAAGAAGTACAAGACGACAAACTGTGTATAACAGTAAATGTGATATTTTCCAAAATTATACATTTTCTATCATTATTTAGCCTGTATTTTTTTAAAACTTGAAAATTTGCCATTCATTTGTTTTATGTTTATGAAACACTTTTAAACATGCACAACAGTTCACTGCTGTTGACCAAAACTGATTACATTTATGCAAGTTGCATGAAAGGAATATGTCACATACATGTGCGTGTATATAATTAAGTTAAAAGCATGTGCTGGTTTCACTCATTGTTGCAAAATTCAGTCTTACATATCTATTGATACGACAGCTTATATTTCTTGTTATAGATTAGTCTATGACTTATATAAAGAACCTCTTAGTTGACATAAAAGTTGGGTTGCACATCTAAGAATTAAGTTTTTAAAACACACATTTGCATAAGGCTATTTTATATAAAAATGATTGAAGACCATTGGAGTTCAAGGTTGTTCAGGTATTTAAATCCAAGCCTGAGTCTTTCTTGACTAGTATTAGCCTTTCTTGGAAGAGATTAGCATATATTGTACATTTTCATTGCACCTGCAAATTAAGCTATCAACACTGAAAAAAAAAAAAAAAAAGGCTGGACTGGCATTAAATTGAGTGATCACATCTAAGGTTGAAGTGGAATATGATCAAAGCACATCAAGTCAGAATCCAGTCATTGAACAGAAGACAAAAAAATGTTCAGCACATGGGTTAATTAGTATAAGGTCTCCTTATTGTTATGTAAAAACATTGTAATTAATGGTAGTTCCTGAGTCGATTGGAGGAAGACCTTTCGTGAGCTACTGGTGTTTATGAATCCTCATCATCACAGGGCTGAAAAGTCTAATTCTGGTTTTGTAATGTTTCTGTCATAACTGGCACTATGAGGATGTATTTGAAGTAGCAGGCATGGGTACTATATAAGTGCCGGTGCTCTCTTACAGCCCATATTTTCTCACAGCTTTCATTTTTGCAGACCATTTGATAAATGATAAATAATAGTACTGTTATTAATAATATTTGAGTTTAAATTCAGATTTGTTCAGTAGACTGTAGAATGTAAGGTGTATAAATAATAAAAAAAGGCTAGTAAAAGAAATGATAAAAAATGCTACTTCATCACTTGCTTAAAAAATTGATTATAAAAATTCTATTGAATTTTTTTTTAAAGTAAGTCTTGAGTTCCCTTTTAAAAGTAGCCACAGAGTTTAGCCTATGTAGTAAAGTGGAAGTAAGTCCCATAGTCAAGTGTGTGTGTGTGTGTGTGTGTGTGTGTGTGTGTGTGTGTGTGTGTGTGAGAGAGAGAGACAGAGACAGAGAGATTGTATGGGTATATAAGGGTCAGGAAGTACAAAAAAAGACAAACTGTGCATAGCAATGAGCTAGAACTGTTATTTTGTCAAATTGTGCATTTTCCACCATGTTTGGCATGTTATTTTAGAATTGAAAATTATTCGGTTGTTCTTTATTTAATTTTTTTGCTATCATCTCTCGTTTCTCTGTTATACATACAATTTTTATTGAATATATATGATGAGGGGGGGGGGGGGTGATAACTGAAACATGTTTCACCCCATCCTCCCTACCCCAAATATAACCTTTGGTAAAACAAGCCCTGTTGTAGTACATGGGAAGCATCATGTACTGGTCTTACCTACCTCATTTCGAAATCTGTATTGCAAAACAAAACATGACTATTGACAAATATTTGGTGAAACTGAATTTTGATTGAGCAATGTGGGCATAGGGTGTATAGGTACGGATTAACTGATAAACTCACAGTCACATGGCTTCTAATCAGCATACCTTGTGGTTGTTGATTTAACTCCTGTGTAAATATCTCTTATCCGGGTAGATTTGGGTCATGTGATATCTGAGTCCATCGTCACGTGTATTTAAAATTCCACTTTGGTCCTACACTTAAAAGATAAACAAAGCAAAAGAGATTTCATATTGACACCTGTTTAAAGAGAAACCTACACGTGGAGTTTTTTTAGGAGTATTTTAGCAGAAATCGTTAAAGTAAATATGGCAGATAATAGGGGGAGCAGGGTAAAATACAGCAGAGATGTTGGAAGTAAGTGAACAGGGAAGTAGAAGTGGAAGACTGACAACATTTGTCTTGAATTAATTTTGTGGCCAATTAAATGTGTGCTTATTATCTCCACCTGTAGTGAATTGTCTGAATTCAATCATTTTAGCATTTTAGCACTGCTTTTTAAGACCAAACGTGTAATTGTGTGCCTGTGTCTGTATGCGTATGTGTATGCACATGCGTGTTTGTTTGTGTATGCATTAGTGTGTGTGTGTGTGTATGTGACTGTATGTGTGTGTGTGCAAATGTGTGTGTAAAGCTGTTACATAATGACCAGTTGAATGTTCATATATTGATAGCATACACTGGTTTTATTCGATACAGTCTTAGTATTGTGCTCTCCATTGATCCACAGAGAAAATTGCACATGAATATTATCATCCTATCAAATTATGCATGAGTATCATTCTCAGTAAACTGGAAAAAAATTTCCTAAAGCAATATTTTTAAAAGAAGTGCAAGGGTATATAAATAAGTAAAAAAAAAAAAAAAAAAAAAAAAAAATATATATATATATATATATATATATATATATATATATATTGAAAACTTCTGAGAAGTCTCTTGGGTTCTTGTCAGATTCTAGTAAGTTTTTATAACTTAAATAAGGACTCATTCCCAATGAAACTATTGGCTCACATAGATCGATCCAACATCGTGGGGACTCACTGAATGCAATCAGAGTAGTAGATTAGCACGCCTCCTCTTGTTTCCAACATACTCGTATGATCACCAGCTTTTCTGTATTCTACTTAACGCCAAGAGGAGGTGCATTAATCTAATAACATTCAGTGCAAGTTGAATCGATCTATATAACTCGATAGTTTCATTGGGAATGAGCCCAAAGAATAAGAAATGGAATGAATGTGAAGTGTTGGAAATGTTAGAGTAATTACCGTATGCAGTACAGGTATGAGAGTTAAATGATAATAATGTCCAGGTTTTAGAAACCCTCTCAATCTACGGCTCACTGTGTGAACCTTATCCTGTTCACCATCGGGATGGGTGTTAATGATTTACCTTGATTGAAAAGGAGAGAATGAGGGTTACCTGTTAGGCCCTGTCAGAAGCTTTGCATTTAGTCTCTACTGAGCGAAATCTTGCCTGATGCTGTAAGATATGTTACTGTTAATGTTGCAAAAACATTGTTAATCCCAGCCCAGCAGGAGATTTGTCTGTGCAGTAAGCTACCTGTAGGTTACAGATGTTATACAGGGCAATGTGGGAACTTCTGAACTCCAAGAACTGAAGGATTGATTGCTAGTACTGGCAAGTGCTATTGCAGCCTCACTCAGTGCATGTGCATATTTCAGCATTAATGTTTCTTCCCAGGAGCTCATTTGTATAAATATCGAGTCTTACTGAAGGTCGCACAAATTGGAGAGTTCTTATGCTAACTGACAAGCTGACAGCATTTGTGAGGCTTTATGTTGGTGTGATTGTTGCTGGATTCCTTGTTTTTATCTGCCAGAGATATTTGGGAGCTTGAGACCAGATTCTTACAAAAAATCTTCACACTAGACTACATAATCCAAGAAGACATTGCAGGAGATCTTGTGTGGAAGTTGCCTGGGAGCTATATGCTACTTGGAACAATATTACAAATTTCCTAGAATCAAATAATCGGTGAATAATCGGCCATCACTGTACTGGTGATATAGACAGAGAGAGAGACACTGAGGATTCCTGCAGCTGTCATTTCTGTGGCAGATTGAATTTAGTCGACTTGAAGATATATTAAATATTTTAGTTCATCTAGTAAATTACAGTAATGGCAGCAGAGAGCACAGATATTGCATTGGAGACAGTTGTGAATGGAAAAGAGCCAGCTCATAAAAGGACTGCGCATAATTTTAGTAAGATATATCTGTTTTAAACTACATGTATTTGTACCCCAGGGATATTGTCCATGAAACAGCTAGATACCATTTTGCATTAAATGGTGATTTGCTTGACATTATAAAAATCATTTCTTAATTTCAATGAAAGATGAGGATAGCTAGGTTAATAAGGATGATCTGTTACTTAAATAGAATGTGTCTATGAGGAGTATGTTGTGTTATGGACAAGAAAGTAGATGGTGGGTTAAAAAAAAGTTTCAAATCTGTTATGCATGTGCACATTTCTTCAAAAGAGATGGTAAGAGGGAAAATATTTGGATAAAGTTCGTAGACATGTTTGTTACCATGTAGATGTGGCTCTTTGTACTGGTGTGTTTGAAAGATAATGTTAGGCTTCGTTCACATGCAATGTCTATTTTCTAAATTCTATTTTCTATTTGCAGTATGTCTTATGATCATAGTCTGTGCCCTGAATATCCCGCGGCGTAATTACTGGCAGCGCGAGCCAGTTACTATAAGTTACTATAAGTAACTGGCTCGCGCTGCCAGTAATTACGCCGCGGGATATTCAGGGCACAGACTGTGATCATAAGATAGCGCGAATAGAAAATAGAATTTAGAAAATAGACATTGCATGTGAACGAAGCCTAAATCCATTGTGTTATCAAATGAATTTTTTTCCATAAAGGATAATTGTGTGGGATTGTTATTTATGTAATTAATAACCAAAGGGTTTAATGTAATGGGAGTTTCTGAAATAGTAATTTGATTTAAAAGGGATTGGTATTTACATTAAACTGTTGATTAAATATTCGGTTACTTTGGAGTCCATGCTTGAAGTTTTTATGTATCAGGGTTGCTTGGTGCTAGTCAGTAATAATAATAAAAAAATAGATATATTAATGAAATTATAAAATCAATTAACAAGTAGATAAAAAATTGTGAAATGCACAGTTTAAAAGAATTATACATTGTGTTCCCCTCTCTCTTCTTACATATCTCTGTCAATTGCATTATGTAACCAGACACATAAAATCCTGAACATTGTTTTGTTCAGTGCTGTATGCAGCTTACACAGTGGAATCTATAAAAGTAAAGGTAGTTTGTTGCTAGAACCAATTGCAAACTTTTGAGGGATTGCAGGTATTTTAGACTGTGGAACTAGAATCATCCAATTTTAAATGCTTTGGTGCCTTAAGGTTTTGGCTTTGTTTGCAAATCATTCACCATGAACTGTTGTTCAAATTTGCTGAAAAGCATCTAAACTCAACAACCCAAAATGATTTTAAAAGATCTACAAACTTCTTTCCAGTAATATATATTTCCATAGCAATATATAAAATAATTTGTTTTGTCTGTTTTCCAGGTCCCGACGATGGGGGCAGCATTGGTTGCTGTGGTTACATTCTAATGGGGATCTCCTACCTTCTCATTGGCTGTACCTTACCATTCTCTTTGTGCATGTGTATTAAGGTTAGTGTTTGTATGTGTGCGTGCATGGTGTGCATGTGTGTGAAAGTAGGATGATGATTTTAAAAATTTTGTATACGAATAGTATGATGGAAGAATTTGCACACGTATGTTGATTTCGAATACATACTGAAAACTTTGTTGCTAGCCTATTAATCACTGAGTGAGAAAGAACGGGTTTATTTATCTTTCACCTTTCCACAATTAATGACGCGCATGCACGTTTAGCTCATTTCTGTTTGTTGTATGTGCATACCTATTTCCGGTGACGTGCCTGCGCAGTACCCATTTCAGGTAGTCATATGTGGTCGCATATGTGTCATTGGAAATAGCCATGCAAACATGCCCATCGAAAATGGCATGTACACCATTATCTTTGGATAATGAAGTGTATTTGTCAAGAACCTCCCAGAGATAGAAGGTTCTGTGTTGTGTGTGCGTGTGTATGCGTGCATGTGCCCACGCCCCATAAATATAATTTTGTATTCACTCCCAGTTTAATCAAAAAGAATTATTTAACTGCAGATAGATCATTAAAAGAATTAATCTTTCAAATGTCAGAGATGAATTACTTACTATTGAATTAGGTGAAATACGTGTGTAACGTCATTTTTTGCAGGTTGTTCAAGAATATGAACGAGCTGTCATTTTCCGACTTGGGCGTCTGTTACCCGGAGGAGCTAAGGGACCAGGTAAATGAGGGAAATTCCAATTTACATTAAGGCATTTTAGCTTAATAGAATAAGGTATTTGCTTATTGTACTCATTTTTAAAAAGAAAATTACATATTTCAATTCATATATCTGTCATCAAAACAGTTAATCCTTTTGAATAGCAGGATATAACATTCTCGTTCCTACTCAGTCATTTCATTATTTAGAGTGATGGCTGAATTGGATTTGAACTTTTTGAATAAGGTATTCAATTGCTGCAATCATTTAGAAAGTCAAAACTATGTATTTCATCCCATACATTTCTCTTCAAATCCATTTATCCCATGAATTACTGGATATAATGTTTTTTTTTCTGTACTCAATCATTTTATTATTTAGTGATGGATGGAGTAGATAGGATGTTCCTATTTGACTCGAACCATTTCTATACAGTGACAGGAAATTACTTTATTAGATTATTGTGTTCAGTCTGGTAAAAAAAAAAATGAAAGGTTTCACTCATCTTGCTTAATTTACCACTAAAGGAGATATGACATTGTGGTTTTGTTGTTTGATGATAAGGGAAATGTCCTACCTCATTTTTTTCTCCTTTTTATGTGTGAAAGAGAGCTAAGATAGGTTTTGCCTGAAATTATCAAAACAGAAAATTTGGGTGAAGAAGGGGGAGGGGGGGGGGGGTGAAAGGAATTTTTATCCCATCCTTGGGTATTGTCGGTATATTTGGGTTTTGAAATGAAATTATCAAGTGACATCATGGGGGCATGGCATCCCTCAGTGTGGATTTTCTAATAAAGATGAACATCTTTGCTAGCATACAGAAGAGTTGGTTGAAGTAAAATCATTTTTGTGCTGGGAAGATGATAAACACTCATATACACATACACGCATGCGCATGCACACACACACACACACACACACACACACTGATACTGCACACTCTCTGTGTGTGTAACATGATGAAGATGAAAGTTTTTAGGCCTGCTGAGAAAGTTAAACAGAACATATGATATTGTGGGCCAACATGGTGGAAAGTAATTTGTTTCTTCAGATGTGCTTGATTAGCTGTGTAAACAGAAGTGATTAGTTTGGATGGTCCTGTCAGGCTATCTTTTCTGTTATTAATTATTTTGAAAATCACTTGGCAATAGGAAGGATGAGATTTTTCCTCAGACACTGCTTATGAGTTCCCTGGAGTAACCTAGCAACATGGAGCTATGTGAAATTATAACTTGGCATGGAAATATGTAAATAAATGTATACATCATTGATGGAATGAATGTATTTCCTCAATTTTGACACATTAATACTACTTAGTGATTAGAGACTTAGTTGAAATTGGGTTCTGAAAAGGGAATACGGTTTATGTTGAAAAGGAACTCCAGGGATAAGTCACAAGACAAAAAAACTTCATTTCTGAGGTGTTTGGTAGTTCGAGTAATTACAGTAGCAGGATCTGGGATGAATGTTGAAGGGAAGTTGTTTCCAATATACTCTCACTGAAAAAAGATGTGAAATTGGTATAATCACAGGTAATGCTTTGACTCCTAAAGCAAATTGCAAACTTTCCCTGCTGTTTTGAAACAAATTGCAGGTTAGGGAATCAGATTGCCAGAGCCCAAAGCAATTATGTTTTAAACAGACTTGAGTTGGGTTGGTATGTATTTTATTAAAAAATAATGCATCACAAAGCAAATCATAATTTTTTTAGGACTGGCAGCAATTGTTGAACTATAAGAATGACACTGGAAAAATACTTTCTTTTAAATAATCATCACAATGTGACATGCAGTTTTCCATAACTTGGTTTCTTGTGGCAAGATTTTATTGCAGTATTGATTGGAAATATTATAACATTCAGTCTGAGATTCATCTATGAAAAAAAAACACCTTTTCTGCTTAGAGTCCCAAGAAAAGTAAACCTTTTACCAAACACAGAACATTGTTCTTGGAGATAACACTGCTACATAGTTTTTTTATCAACAATATATTATAAAAGCTTCTCCACCTTACATTTCACTAATATACTAGTATGATGATCAAGAACAAAAGTGCATTAAACTGAATGTTTATAGGTGCAAATGACTCATCTGACTGTCAGTTGCTGTTCACTGATGTTGTTATAACAAAATTCATTTTGCAGCTGAAAATATAATGCATGCAGAAAGAGAAAAAGGAAAATGAGAGAGAGAGAGAGAGAGAGAGAGAGAATACCCCCCCCCCCCCAAAAAAAAATAAAAAAAAATGTTTTCCTTACAATAAATAATAACCCTGGTAAAGACCTCTGGTTAATGATATACCAACTTTCTCCAGGGACTAGATCCAATTTGACATGATTGCATTTTATTGATTATATTCCACAGGGCTGTTTAGGGATCCTCTTAGTTGAAGTGGGGAAAAAGGGCTTTTGCTAATGCTGAAGAAAAAAATATACATTATTTAGGTTTAGCATATATATGTTATCATGGAAAAATTACATTGTAATTTCATATCTATGTACCTGGAAACAACTCTGTAAGTAATGATATAGCAGTGATATTGGAAACCTGCTTGGTTGCCATGGTGATATGTAGGTATTACCATGACAACACGGTATGTGGCTTAAGTAGATTAGTATGATATTTTGAGTACAACTTCATCTCTTTAGAACAGGGATGCTATGGTTATTGTATACTTGCAAGCTAGGCGATTGAATATGTACCAAGAATATATGGTTAGATCCCCAAATGAAACTTGTTATTAGGTATTAAAGCTGTTCGGACATAACAATTGATGCCTTAAAATGGACTCCCCCTCCCCAGTGACACTATCAAACTGAGCATTGCTTCAAGATGAACACTGAAGTGAATTATCACTTACTGTTCAGTTGAGTAATGTATAGATCAACTTCCATGGGAAATGCTGATGTGGTGTTCTTTTTTCCACTCTTTAGAATTGTAAATCATCATCAACACATTTAAGTGGAACAAAGTAATCTTTTTGCTAAAAACTTTCAGTTTTTTTATATTTTTGTGATTGATTTATTTTTATCACTCTGTTCTGTTTTAGACATCAGAGATGTTTAATGTTCATATCATGATCCTGATGTTAGTGTAAAACGGATGACAGGGTTTGTTGATATGTTGATATGATTCAAATGCATAAGTATTCAAATAAAGCCAGTGACATTTAAAAAAAGTGTTACCTTACCATGGCTTCGTGACACTATCTCCAAGTTATATATAATGTTGTTCATCTTCAGGTTTGTTCTTCATCATCCCATGTATTGATTCTTACAAGAAGGTTGACCTGAGAACCGTGTCCTTTGATGTACCACCACAAGAGGCAAGTTTCCTTTCCCACATCTTTTCTGTCCTCTGACATTTATCAACATCTTGTTTTCTCTTGCTCAAGTTTTTCATCAATAGTTTACTTCTGTACCATAATTGATTTTGTAACTTTTTTTGTAAATTTTCCATTATTTAACATATATGCTAAGCAAAAAAATTATTTAAATAATTTGAAAATGGTGAAAGTATTGCTAAAATTGGGCATTTGAAGAACATGTTCCATGAAAGCCTTTGTGAAGCAATTATAACGGGTTCTGCTTTGTCAGGAGCTAGACCTATTGATAATCGGAGCTATGTACTCTTCTGACACTCATTTTCCATGATTGTTTAGATTTTGACGAAGGACTCAGTGACAGTGGCCGTGGATGCCGTGGTTTACTACAGAGTCCAGAATGCCACCATTTCCATCACCAACGTCGAAGACGCTGCTCGTTCAACACGTCTCCTGGCATCGACTTCGTTGCGTAACGTTCTGGGAACCAAGAACCTCAGCGAGCTGTTGACAGACAGAGAACATATCAGCCACACAATGCAGGTACTGTATATGTCTACCTTGCTAGTGACATTGTCATTGTGCTCTTGACTTTTAACCTTGGCCATCAGTTTAAGGAAATACTTTGGAGTAATTTAAAGTTTTTTAAAATCTGAAGAATGAGCTAAGAAATTGCAACCCTTACAAAAAGTGGTTAAGTTATTGTTTTCACTTGGTTGTTTACTACCTTTAGATTGTTTTCATGGTGTGACATTTACCTGTTTATATATATTTATATTTTTAACAACTTCTTGTCTTTAGCTAACAGAGCATGTTATACAAAATTAATTGCAGAACTTTGTTTATTGAAGTTTATTTCAGTTTATGCTTGTTAGAAGATATAAATATTTCAGCATTTACTCACACGCCATAGCACAGTGCGCAAGCACTAAGAGACAGATATAGATCTGAAAATTGACTGAGTGAAAGGATATTTTTGTTCATTAAATGTTTTTCTAATTTCCTGTAGTATTTCCTTAGACCATTACAGCACAGGATACTTATTTCTGTGGAAACCAAACTCTGGCTTCTAGTTCACAGAGGTGGAGTAAAGACTGCAAGTGCAAACGATCTTGTGGCAGTCTTGTCTTGATTTTAGCCATCCTTTCTTTTCACTTTGATCTTGATGTTTAAAAAAAGTTTTAACTTCTTTTATCTTTACTTTGTACATTAGTGAACTGGCTCTTATCATTTACCTCCAAAGTCAGTTCCCACTTTCTTCTTATCTACCTTTTATTTTTAGGTGAAAGTGAGCGCTGATTGGATCAGAATGTTGATCTTGCAGGTGTAAAAAAAAAGATATTGAATACCTTTTGGGTATATGCTACTTCTCGTGCTGATGAAGCTTCATGACATTTTCCATAGCAGCTGCATTTTTTCTTCTTTTTTTTGGTTTTTTATTGTGCCTTTAACCTTAATACTTCTCTTGCATGTGTTTGGAGCATGGCATTCATTTCTATTGGTCAAGAAATAGAAAACTGCCTAAGGATGGATACTATCACTTGCTCCTGAGATTATTTTCTTATTGTCAGCAGGCTTATCCCTTACATTCACACTTGCAAAACTACATCAGGTTTTTAAGAATTCTGACATTAAGTGGTCATCTATGTCCATTCACTCATTTGTCCTACTGCTGGATTGGTGCCTAGCTTCCTCCTCATTACAATGATCATGATGTCAAGTGGAATGCTTCAAAACTGGTTTTATGTTATACCTTGTAGCCAGCTATTACACTGCTGCTTTCTAATTACTCAGTTGACCTGCTGCTGGGCTTGTGACCATCTGACCATTTCACTCAGTTGATGATATCATAAAGAATATGTCAGGACTGCTACATGGTAATATTTTAGGCCAGTGTGAACCTGCTGTTATTTCTTTTTCATCAATCATGGCATGTAGTATAAAGTATAATTTGTGAATTTCTCAGATATTTGTTTTCCCAGCAGATGTTCTTTGGGTTATCTCTTCTGAAGGCATTTTTCGAACGCTTTGAAGTTCATTGGTTGTTATTTCAGAAATTTAGCAATGGTATTTCTCTTATTTTGTGCACTTAAAGGAAAATACTGACAGTGGAAATTGATGTTGACTAGTGGGATAATATGTTGTGTGAGAGAAAAGAGACTGATTTATGTGGGTGAACTAGATTTGTTAAAAAAAGACAGTCAGACAGACTGGCAAGCACACAGATAGATAGAACTTGTCGGCAAAATATTTTATTGGCAGACCTCAGGTGTGAAAGTTGGTGTTGCAAGTGCTGTGTAAACATGATCATTCCAGCTGATAATGTAAGATTCCGTGAGATGGGAAACACAGGTGAAATGTCTAGACATGAGATTGCTGCAGTTTTAGCTGCAGGGCTGAAGACTTTACGTCATCATGTGTCCAATTGCATTTTGGTTTTGAAGGGCATCCTTCTTGTATGATTAAAAAAAGACAATTTGATGATTTTTTATGTTTCACTCTGGTGATTGAAATGTCAAAGATTATCTGTTAAGAAAGTAGTCTGTGGGTATTCTATTTCCATCTTACCTACTTTTCCCTCATGATCTTGAAACTAAAACTAAGACCCTTTTTGGCAGGTTTGAATGATCATTTTTTTTATTTGTTTTATGTTATTTAGATACATCATTATATTCAAGTTTAGATAAAGGCATTATTTGGGGTNGGGGGCATGTTGATACTCCCCCGCACCGTTACTCCCCCGCACCGTAATTCCCTTGCAACGATACCCCCCTGCACTGTTACTCCCCCGCACCGATACTCCCACACGCCAATAATCCCCCTTAGTAAATTTTTTAGTATTATGGGCATCGATACGACCCCACACTGATAGATCCCTGCATCGATACATCCCCAGTAAAATTGCCGATGTTGGGGCATTGTTACTCCCCCACACCATTACTCCCCCACATCATTGCTTTCCCGCAATTTCACTAACTTAGATTATATAGTTATTAACAGGGCACTCTCACTGCATTCACTTTTTCATTTCACAGGAACAGATTTTTTTAAACTCTCTTTTAAGACTAATTTTATCTGTGGTATATATTTTTGATATTTGTATTGTGCAAACTAAGGAATAATCAGATTTTACCATCTCAGTTATACAGGGGCCAGTATCTTTGAACTGGTAAACATGAAGTAAAATGAAATGAATTAAATGAACTGGTCACATGGATTTTATGATAGTTGGACATTTTGCCTGTCAGTATATATTGTTTTTGATAATGACAACAATAATTTTTCATATTGATTACAGCAAAGATGTCCGCCTGCCAGTTCAGTTACAGAGAGCCATGGCGGCTGAAGCAGAGGCATCAAGAGAGGCCAGAGCCAAGGTAAGATGTTTTGGCATGTGTTGATGCAATTTTCTTTCATACAGATATTATAATATAAAACAGAATAAGATTGAATTTTTTGTTGCAAATGTAACCTTTCGAGGACAGGAAGTATTTTATGGTTACAATCATTTCCAATGCTTTGATATTTTTCAGGTTATTGCAGCAGAGGGAGAACAGAAGGCTGCTCGTGCCTTGAAGGAGGCTGCCGACGTTATCGCAGAGTCACCATCAGCCCTCCAGCTGCGCTATCTTCAGACCCTGAACACAATCTCGGCCGAGAAAAATTCGACAATTATTTTCCCGCTGCCAATGGAGATGATGAGAGGTTTATTGCCAGGTTCAACTCAGAGTGCTCAATTATAGAAAAAAATGAGACATTTTTGTAATTTGTTATCTTCATAATGTTCTTCTTTTATGTATGCCAACACTAGAAACCCTAGATAGTGCATTGTAATGCTATATGCAGATACCTCATCTTGTTTTGCCAAATCATAGACTTTTTTTTTTGGGGGGGGGGGGGATACAAAATCAAACTTGTATGAATAAGAATTTTTTTTTTCTAAAGGCACTTGATGAGGGACCTGATATCACCTTGGGCAGCCATCTGTATTTTCCATAAAAGAGCAACTGATTTTATCTAGAATTGGGGGGTGAGGGTGGTCTGAATTTGTGGCAAATAAGTGTCATTTCTAAAAATATGTGTACATTAATCCATATAGAATAGTTACTTTTTAGATGTTTTGTATTATATATTGCATAATTGGCTAGTATATATGGTTGCTTTATACAGGTAATATAATATTCCAGCATTGATATACATATTAACAGTTTGATATGAGGGTACAGACGTTTACCAAAAAAGACATCCGAAAATTCTTATGCATACTAAATACGTACCTGTTAACATTTTTGAATCTGTATACGAATGTTTGTACAGAATATGTATTTTTTAGATGTAAAATTTGCACCTCTTTCAAACACCTTGTAACCTCTTGTGCCAGCCCCGTAGCTGGAGAGGGGGGGTAATTTAAACGAACCACCCTTTTTGCTGGGAAATGGGTCAGCTGTTAGTAAAATTTGATATACTTAGGTACACGAAGGTTACATGGTTAAAGGTCCACATTTTTAGAAAAAGTTTCCCCTCCCCACTGGCCACCTTTGAAATTGCTGGCTACGGGCTTGTGTGCAATAGTAGTAATCGTCTTCTTGTCATTTATAGGGGTAAAATATTTAGGTGAAAGTTAATTAGTATCTAGAATCCTAGACTACTTTGACTGCCACAAATTTATTGTATCAGATAATGTGTAAAGTGAAATCTGAACTTTTTAGATAAATTATTGATAAAATGAATCTTTTTTATTGTTGTTGTTTTTTGTCAAATCAAAATGCAGCCAGATTCAAACATTTTGTGCGAGTACAATATGACTTAATGTATTAAGACAGCCTTGGCAAGTATGTTAATGTATTTGCACAAGTGAAAGTTTTATATGCTCTTTAGTAGGTCTTGAGTTCTTATTAAAAAAGTTACAGTGACTAAATTCGAACAAGAATCTTTATGTTTAAAATCATATGCTTGTATTTTTAATTTTAAGTGTCATAAATATTGTGGTTGAGCACCAAAATGGGTGAACCCCGCCTTTCCAAGACTTCTCCCCTGTCTCAAGTTGTATAAGTAAAGTCAAAGACTACAAAGTGTATAATACTAGTTACATCCCAATTTTCTCTTGCTCCTGTGACCAAGTCAAAAAAGTAAACGAGGTACTGTAGTAATGTCACTTAGTTTGAATGAAGATATTTTCACAGCATGTGCTGTCAGTTATGTGTATATCGGCTGACTGTCCTGTCCCAGTCATCTTTACTGATACTGGTTGTTTATAATCCCTGCTATGGTGGTGGATTTGTTGTGACAAACTATTGTTAATCTTCTTGTTTTAAAGTATTAAGGTGTGCAATTCAGTCAATATCAGGAATCGGAAAAAGAAGGCTTGGAATATTTTATTTGCTTTCTGTCTCCTGCTAAAGCCAGGGTTCACTTTAACTTTGAGTTGTTGAAAATAATGAGGATCTGTATAAGGAAAGGAATATGAATTTAATGACAAGTACTTGGATGTATTAAATATTTTTCATTGTCTTTTATATCTTGCTATTTTATTGTACAATTTACTGGAAGTGTATCTTATTAAATTTCTATGCTTGGTACTTATCAGGGTATTTGGTTCAAATTTAGACAAATTGTTCTTGGCATCTCGCCTACAAAAATTATGCTACTCTAGAGCTTAAACTGTATCTTTAGAAATGTAGAGAAAGTTAATGAACAATTAAAAAGCAGGTACTGAGGTGGTTTTTGTAATAAATGTTGTTTCTGTTAATAGGTGTTGTAAATAAAGCTGCCACCAATGTTTCTACTGTTCACACATACTTATCATCGCAGCAGTGTTTTTATCTGATATGTATCCAAATATTGCATGAAATAATCATCTTAATTTGTAATTCTTTCAGTAATGTGTTTCATTTATTGCCTGAATTAAGGTTCACATACACATTTTGAATATCTAAAGAAATTAAAAATTCACTCAAAATCTTGGGCCAAATAGACACATGAACAAGTGCATGTACAATATAATACAATACAATACAAAACAATACAATACAAGACAATACTATCTTCAGACATTCAGAAATCATCTCAATTACTTAATATATGCCTTTGCTAAAAACCTTAAAATTTAATAACATCAACTTGAATATCTTTGAGCCTAACAGATGATAGATTTGACTACTGGTACAGAGTAGACTAAGTCCAATTGTAGTGTGTACGCAAGTGTGTACGCAACATCATTTACTACAACCAATGCAAGACAAAATATTTGAACATTTACTCAAATTTTAAATGTTCACATAAGGGACATTTGAAAAAATTCCAATTTTTGGCAACGATACAAGCTCTAAGGCATGCCCTTGGTATGACATCTTCAGTGAACGCCACCTTGTCGTATGCTGAGAAGAAAGGCAACGGTTACCATGGTTACCATTTCGAATATGCTGAATCTGTAATGCAAAATGAGGTAGCATGTTTGTTGCCATTACATATATAGCTTATAGAGTCATATCTAACAGATCACGTATGAGCTACCAAATTATTGATGTAGTTTGCCAAAGTATCAAAAATATAAAGAAGCCAAAAAGTCAAAAAAAGCTTTATTGATACAAAAGATGAACTTTTTATCCAAAATATTTATTTTATTTCACTTTGCTTATGATTATTATTATTATTATTATTATTATTACTATTATTTTGTCTATTTATTCTCTTTATTTTCATTCTTTATCATTTTTCGCAGTTTAGATACATGTAGATACAAGAGTTTCTGTTACATACGTGTATATACAAATGCTTCCCGAGGTTTGTTGGTTGGGGTCGAAGACACACACTGCTGTCGATACCTTCCTCGCACAAGTAAATTCCCCGCTAGTTTAAGAAAAGAAACCTCTATTGATGAAGAATTATCATTATGGACAATAAATTTAAAGATATTGATTTTCAGCTAAACATGAAGAGAGAGGAACCAAATGGAAATAGACGTCAAAACTTGAAAGAAGATCTATAGATTTTAAAGCTCATTAATTCATTACCAGTTCATTTAAAACCCATTTATGGATGTATCCATGTTTTTAATGTGTGGACTAATTTAAAGTAAATCAAATGCGGCTTAATAATGGAAGCGGCCTTACCATCTATCTGTGGGATAATTGGCAACAGTGCCGTTGATCACTGTGGTAGTTGAGCCGCCGCCATCCAGGTTGATTGCGTTCACCATTCCCAACCGGATCAGGAACTCGGCGAACTCCCAGAGAGTGGCGCTGGAAAGTGGGATGGCGGATTTTTAAAACTTTTTTATTGAGATTTGTAACACGGGGGAACTTATTGACGAAAAAGAAGAAGAATGAATTCGAATGGAATGATAAACATTAAGAATAATCACGTGTGAAATTGAGGAGGTAAAATGTCACAAATCAAGTATATAGAAAAGTGAAGCAACCACATACTGAGGTGTGACAGTGAAAAGAAAATTGGTGAAGAAATAAGTAAAAAAAAATTAAGGAGATTAGAGTACTGAAAGACAAAATAAACACATTTTTATAATATAAGCGAACACAAGAAAAAGACACGGCTATGTGCGCAGGGCTAACAAAATGGACAAGGATATTCGGGTTTGGAAGACAAATCTTAATCAAGACGTCGACTGGGAGCAGGAAGAAAACGCGTATACCCTCGATGTAGGGTCCTCCCGTCTATTTGCACGATCATTGCTCTTCCCCTTGCGTCGTAGCCAACAGCAGTCCTGGCCGACAACACATTGACAAACTTCAACAAAGTACCTGAAAAAAAGAACAGTGAAATAAATTTCACAGCAATAATTGATTAAATTTATATATAAAAATGTTTTTCATTATTCGGAGAGTTCGACCGATTAGTGCGTGAGGTTCCAAAGAATATAAGGATCTTTATTAGGCACCAGCAGTCACAATATAAATTATTGCCATAATGAGTTGTTAAAAACTAAAAATTAAAACATTGAAATAGCATGTGCCTGAGCTAGAGATTTAAGCCAACGTATTTTCAACCACAATTCAATTTCGTCTAGTGCGCAAATGTGCTGTCGCACTTAAAACGATTTTACTGAGATTAATGGTATCCACATATTTTAAAAATTGTTTTGGAATGTGCATTTCAGAATAGTAATCATATTTTCTTCCAGACTCTGCCTGCTCTTTATTCTTCTTTTGGTCTATATACGCAGGCGTATATGAGCGTGCTCACAACAGTTCTATGATTGTATTCGTGCGCCCAAGCGTGTACATATGCACGCGTGTGCATGTGCATGTGCGTGTGTGTGTGTGTGCGTGTGTGTGTGAGAGAGAGAGAGAGAGAGAGAGAGAGAGAGAAAGAGAGAGAGAGAGAAGCATACCCGTTTCCTGCACATCCGAACATTCAGCTTTCAAGCTGTCGTTGATGTAAACCTCTCCGTCTCGGACGATCCACAAGACCCCGCCCACTAACTGTGAAAACTCGCCGCTTGTCACTTCCTCTTCTGTTATATAACTGCATCATGCAATACAACAGTTTTCTATAAAGATTTTGTACTGAAGAAGAGTAAAAACATTAGGGGTCGACAATACAGTTCTTACAAATAAATTAAACTGCACATTGTATAAAGGAGTAAAAACGCCATAACTAAGGAGTCTTATAAAGAATCCATTTTCTGATAGCCTGACTGCGTCGTATCGTTATCTTAAAGCAAAAGCAAAGAGATTTTTGAGGGTTTCTAAGGAAAATTACGAATATTTATTTTTCAATGGATCAATATCGTTAGTTGATACCAGTGGCTCCTGATCTACGTTACCATTAAAGGTGTCTTAAAACCAAGGGTCAATTCAAATCTATACATATCTAATCTTAATTTGGATCATACAACTTGATATTGAAATAGTGATATTGCCGATAAGAAACATCCATACTCTAAGCTAGTGTGTGTACTAGGTACCTCACCCAACATACAAACTCCCGTCCTTCCTTATCCCAAAGTGCGCGTTTTGTATGCCGCCTGTGTTAACCCGCAACTTGCCGTCTGTTATCACGTTACCTGGGGAAGACAAAACCAGAAACAGAATGTCTGTGAGTAAACTTTCAACAGATATGTCTCATGAAAAATAGTAATCAAAGTGGAAGGCTGCTCTGGTAAATTATTGTTCTGCAACAGCATATTAGGAAAGGGAAAATATTTTTGGGCATCAGAGAAGGTTGTTTTGTTCCTTGCGGATATTTTAAATGGAATGTGGCGCTCTGGAAAAAAAGCAAAAACATTTTTTCGATGCTGCAATGCAAAGCTTGACTACAAAGTAGAACTGTTCTAAACATCTGATCATTTATATTGTGTGAAAACAAAATAAAATAGCAACTTTATGGCGCACCGTAACAGCCTCCATTTGTGGTATTAAAGAAGCCAGCGTTCACTGCGTAAATACAGTTCTTCTGGCGCGCAGACGTCTTGACGGTGGCTCTTTCCCCAGACGCCAGTGAGCACGTGCCAGGACGACCTGGCTCCAGTACCGCGACTGTTTCTGCGGCATTGTTGATATATGCCACGTGTCCAAACGTTGTTCTATTCCAGAACTGGTTTACAAAATATTTGACATCTATTAGTGGTAGGGAATTGTCATTCAGCGCTGGTTTGGTCTCATGTGTGACGTTACCGTATTTGATTGGTTGGCATTCCCTGACGTAACGATGTGGATGACGTGGACCGTGGCGATGTAGGTAGGGTTGTAAAATATCATCTTCGTCTAGCGGCGAGTCTGAAAATCTGTATATGAATGCAAAAAGAGTTAGAAAACAGAAAGTGATATTTTGACTGTACGTTTTGTTCCAAGCATCACCTGACTATCGTATCTCTTTAAAGTAGTTTTACGTTTATGACTTGAATACGGTCACTGCATGGTACATTTGACTAAAGCCTCACCTCCGTTTTTCAGTCCAACGTCGTGTCTTTTTTATGTAAACCTTATAGGCTGCCAACGTGTACAGAAGATTAAAAATTGCTGTGGGCATTAGTACGACAAATATTTGCATCTGTTTACCTGTCTAGCTTTGGCTAATGGCAAGTGAAGCTGGCTTTCATAAGATGTTAAGGAGAAAGGTGTGTGTGTGTGTGTGTGAGAGAGAGAGAGAGAGAGAGAGAGAGAGAGAGAGAGAGAGAGAGAGAAGCATACCCGTTTCCTGCACATCCGAACATTCAGCTTTCAAGCTGTCGTTGATGTAAACCTCTCCGTCTCGGACGATCCACAAGACCCCGCCCACTAACTGTGAAAACTCGCCGCTTGTCACTTCCTCTTCTGTTATATAACTGCATCATGCAATACAACAGTTTTCTATAAAGATTTTGTACTGAAGAAGAGTAAAAACATTAGGGGTCGACAATACAGTTCTTACAAATAAATTAAACTGCACATTGTATAAAGGAGTAAAAACGCCATAACTAAGGAGTCTTATAAAGAATCCATTTTCTGATAGCCTGACTGCGTCGTATCGTTATCTTAAAGCAAAAGCAAAGAGATTTTTGAGGGTTTCTAAGGAAAATTACGAATATTTATTTTTCAATGGATCAATATCGTTAGTTGATACCAGTGGCTCCTGATCTACGTTACCATTAAAGGTGTCTTAAAACCAAGGGTCAATTCAAATCTATACATATCTAATCTTAATTTGGATCATACAACTTGATATTGAAATAGTGATATTGCCGATAAGAAACATCCATACTCTAAGCTAGTGTGTGTACTAGGTACCTCACCCAACATACAAACTCCCGTCCTTCCTTATCCCAAAGTGCGCGTTTTGTATGCCGCCTGTGTTAACCCGCAACTTGCCGTCTGTTATCACGTTACCTGGGGAAGACAAAACCAGAAACAGAATGTCTGTGAGTAAACTTTCAACAGATATGTCTCATGAAAAATAGTAATCAAAGTGGAAGGCTGCTCTGGTAAATTATTGTTCTGCAACAGCATATTAGGAAAGGGAAAATATTTTTGGGCATCAGAGAAGGTTGTTTTGTTCCTTGCGGATATTTTGAATGGAATGTGGCGCTCTGGAAAAAAAGCAAAAACATTTTTTCGATGCTGCAATGCAAAGCTTGACTACAAAGTAGAACTGTTCTAAACATCTGATCATTTATATTGTGTGAAAACAAAATAAAATAGCAACTTTATGGCGCACCGTAACAGCCTCCATTTGTGGTATTAAAGAAGCCAGCGTTCACTGCGTAAATACAGTTCTTCTGGCGCGCAGACGTCTTGACGGTGGCTCTTTCCCCAGACGCCAGTGAGCACGTGCCAGGACGACCTGGCTCCAGTACCGCGACTGTTTCTGCGGCATTGTTGATATATGCCACGTGTCCAAACGTTGTTCTATTCCAGAACTGGTTTACAAAATATTTGACATCTATTAGTGGTAGGGAATTGTCATTCAGCGCTGGTTTGGTCTCATGTGTGACGTTACCGTATTTGATTGGTTGGCATTCCCTGACGTAACGATGTGGATGACGTGGACCGTGGCGATGTAGGTAGGGTTGTAAAATATCATCTTCGTCTAGCGGCGAGTCTGAAAATCTGTATATGAATGCAAAAAGAGTTAGAAAACAGAAAGTGATATTTTGACTGTACGTTTTGTTCCAAGCATCACCTGACTATCGTATCTCTTTAAAGTAGTTTTACGTTTATGACTTGAATACGGTCACTGCATGGTACATTTGACTAAAGCCTCACCTCCGTTTTTCAGTCCAACGTCGTGTCTTTTTTATGTAAACCTTATAGGCTGCCAACGTGTACAGAAGATTAAAAATTGCTGTGGGCATTAGTACGACAAAAATTTGCATCTGTTTACCTGTCTAGCTTTGGCTAATGGCAAGTGAAGCTGGCTTTCATAAGATGTTAAGGAGAAAGGTGTGTGTGTGTGTGTGTGTGTGTGTGAGAGAGAGAGAGAGAGAGAGAGAGAGGTTTCTGTTTATTTGTAAGAAAAGTAGATGATTTTCTCATGGGCCGACTCCTTAGGTTAACTTCGGATAAGATAACGGGAAAATTGTCTTTGAGGAAACGTTATAATACACTATACAAAACCTACTGTAATTCTGATCTATTTGCACATACATCAATCAAGCAAACCGAGAAAACATTATAATTGAGAAAATAGCTTTTAGCACTGCTGGAGTAAAAAGAAGTATTATTCTAACTTGCTCAAAACCACTACTACAAGGTCGAGTTCAACTTGTTGTAGTTATTAGTTAGAGCTGGTTTGTGGAGAGAGTTAAAATGGGAATAGCATGCGGATACGGGTGCACGCTTACCCTAAAAAAAAGGACTCGCGACTGGCTATACATGCAACTATATGGCTGTGCTCTGTGTCGTTTGCATGTGCGTTCGTGTTTGCATTCGTGAGTGTGTGAAGCCAGATGGACAGTGTATATATGTGTATAAACGAGCGATCAATTTTAAAGTGTATTTACGCTTGCACGTGTTCATGCGCGCGGATGTGTATGAGTGTGTGTGTGTGTGTATGCATGTGTGTATATGTGCTCGCGCAAGCGTGCGTGTGTAGGCCTATGTGTGCGTGTGTGTGAGAGAGAGAGAGAGAGAAAGATTGAGAGAGAATCAGAGATACCTTAAAATGGCATGCACATTTTATTGCTCTTCCTGACAGACAGCTATGAAAAGTCAACATCTCGTGTCATGCCACGGCTATTGTTCATACATCGGTGTTACATATGTAATCTCAGACGAAGGGAGCTCGTATACACGACACGTCCCGAGTCCAAAGTTCTAAGTGCAGACTCACCAAAATATTAGAATATCAGCCCCAAAATGAAACATTTGTCAACACTGTCTCGCTTTTGTCAGAAAAATAAAAACATTTCCAGACACCAAAATTCGAAGTACCAGGACTTACCTTCCCTCTACCAAGGACGCAGATAAATTACGTACACTTTTCTCACGGCAGAGAATTGTGTCATACATGTAGATATCCGTGAATATCTAGTGAAAAAAATCTATCTGTGACCCTGGAAGAGAGTAAAACTTACCTGAGGTAATGTCCTGACATAGCGTCCTCTGGAAACGCAGCCGCCTTGGTGAATTCACAGTTCATTAACACCTGCAGAAGCAGGGTCACTAACACCACTCCAGCAGACGAACTTTTCATGTTCGATAGCTGAACCATATTCTATAGTGCTGCGTGCGTTGCAGCTATAGCACACTTTAAATTATTGTTATATATTATATACCCGTGCGAGTTAACTTTGAAGTGATGAGCCTTGCCACACTTTAAAGCACCAGTCTGCAAAATAATTCATGTGCAATATTGACTTAAATCCTGGCTGGTTTAACTACACCACGTACAGCCGTGTGCTGCGATGATGCCTATGTCCGGGAAGCGGAAGTATACAGTTTCATTTCTAGTCCAGTTGCGACGGTCTAACTTTCAACGTACCATCACTGAGTTCGCTCGGGTACAATGTGTAACCATAAGCATAAATTCTTTATCGCTCCGCACATCGGCACGACTTCTGAGGCAAGTCGTGTATCGGTAATAGTCTCCTGCGGTGAAAAAAATCGTACTAACACTATCTCACTCAGTAAAACGGGCCCAAGTTAACTAAAAATACGTCTTAATACTGGCGCTGTTCTCTCTCCCATGGTTGTAAGCCAGCAGGAGTACATAGCCTCTATGTAAACCCAGGCCAGTGGTAATCTGCTGTGTACATACTGACAATGTTGTAAGGGTTGATAAGGGAAGGCATTTATGAACTCCCAAGAGCAATGGAAATGTTGTACGAGAGAATGTGAATGGATATGTGTGTGTGGTGGTGTTGGTGTTGTTGTTGTTGTTGGTGGTGGTGGTGGTGGTGGTGGTGGTGGTGGGGGAGTGGGGTGGAAGAGGTCCAAAGATATCTCCTTTTTAATAGCTTGCAGGTTTCTAAATTGCAATTACATTTTAAGATCGATGTATGATTGTATTTTATATTTTTTTTTGTTTGTATAGCAATCTTAAAATACTTTCATTCAACATACATGTATAATGTCTCCAACAGAGCGACTAATGTCTGAAAAAAGCGAAAAACGTCATTTATTTCAACAGTTAAAAGGTGCACAAAAGGATCCGGCAGTGTCTCTCAAAATTGAAATTGAGGTTTTAAAACTGCGCTTTCCTTGATATTTGCACTCCCTTTTTTCGCATTACATGACGCCGCCGGGTGTGCAATTTATAACGGCAATATAAGTTTATTTATCCTGTAAAAGAATTCGTTATATCGCTCATTGCTACATGATTTAGTGCTGTGAGAGATATTTTCTTGAAATAGTGCAACGGTTGTCAATATTTAAAGCTAAATTATGTTGCAAATCTTGGTATTCGACCTGTTTTTTAAGTAAGAAAACATTACATGCGCCTCCCAGAGAGAGAGAGAGAGAGAGAGAGAGAGAGAGAGAGAGAGAGTTCAGCCAATTCTTTACAGTGATTATTGCAGTACCTATCAAGGTAGTGCAAGACCACCAGTGAAATGATCTTAAGGGAACCAGATAAATACACAGATCTGATAAATACGTTACAAAGTTTATATTAGATATTACAAATGCTTGTGTCAAGTTATTTCGATATGAAATGCTTATATAGTGGCGATTATTTCCAAAATGGTCCCCAGTCTGTAACTGATACGGACAGATTAGGCAGGTCACTTGTGAAGACTGCGGTAACTATGTGATTTCTGGAAAATCATTAAGTCGAATGTTTACTCAGATTGTTTGCTAGTTGGCACTTGAATAAAAGCGTTAACACATGTATTGATCACCGCGTGAAAATTAAAGGCATATTAAGCCACTGGTTAGATTTGAAAAAATGAACGGATCGTCTAGTCACTGGATCCACAGTTTACAACCGGATGAAATTTTGGATTTCTGTCCCTTATTGGCCTTTTTTATGATTCTAATGGACATACAGTTAAATATTTTCTTTTCTGAAAAATTCTAATAACGTTGTGTCAGCTTAGAAATAAAAGAGAAATAAAATGTCACTAGGTGTTTTTATATACAGTAGCGGCGGGAGGTGGATGTAAAGCTGGAGTCACATTTCAATATAACTTCTATGCAAAAAAAAAAAAAAAAAAATCACACGTCACCTAGTACGGCCGATATGAAGGTGCAATAAACAGAGCATAATATTTCCTGTTATGAATATGCCTGATTACTTTCATTTACAGCCGCAATATTTTATGTCTTCACGATATCACCCGCTGATGTCTTATGGATTATATTGCGTCTAGGGTGAACTGCATGTTTAAAGGGAAAACACCTCTTCTTATCAGATTTATACATGTGTTTCACAATAATAATAATAATAATAATAATAATAATAATTTATTCAGCTTTGAATGTTACAATTTAACATTGTTTGCTGTCTAGACTACTACAAAAACTACCATAATATGCTTACATAAAAGAGAGTGCTACTTCATTGTGCTCTTAACTGTATATACTGTGATATTGCTTTCAGTGACTTATGGTCTCGAGGGTTAATATGGATAGTTTCTGATCACTAATAAATACATTGTAAACAACTCATAAAAGTATGATAAATGACATTTTACCACCAAAGCTGTGGTTATATCGTTCTTATTCTGGAATCTCTGCTTGCCATCAGACCACGTGGACCTTCACAGATGGCTACCCTTCGTTAAAATCTCTTAAGAGATTATTACATTAACCATTGGCAGGTATGGGTCGTTTACCCCCCCCCTTTTCCCGCCAAAATGAACAGTTGTTAATTCTTAAATTAAGCGGCAAAAAAAAAAAAAAAAAAAAAAAAAACTTCAGTTGCGAGATGAAATCGCGGCAATGGTAAGCTTTATAACTTCCTTACCACCCAGTTCCGTCTTGCACTAGATATCTTATGTGCTTTGAACTTACTCTTAGAACATACTGCTTAAGCGAAAAAAAAAGCTGAAAATATGGGGAACAGGAATAGTGTAAATGCTGTAATAAGAGAAACTTTTAAAGACTTATTTTTGGAACAGTGTATTGTCATTGATCAAGCATTTTCTGTTCGTTCCGAACTTTCATTCTATAGACTATTCTTAAACAATTGCCTTCAACAATTTTTAGACTTATAATTTCAGATTTCTAAATAGCTTTTTGTATTTTTAACTCACAATTTCAATTTTGTCATTCAAAATCTCTATCAAGTGTAATGTTTAGCTCATAACTTGTAAGACCCATTGTAATTTTCAGTGGCATGTACCATATAAAGAATATACTTTATTATTATTATAATTAATAATAATGAAAAAGAATGACTTCAGTTGTGTTGGTGTCAGAGGAGATACACATGAATGTGTTTTTCTCCCCTGTCTCATCTACCGCAATCATCGCCATCCTCGGATGACCGATCACGTTATTTTCATGATGATTGTAATAGTCTTTGTAAAATTCTTAGAAATGTTTTCTACAATAACGTGTTGATTCTGATATTAATTCTACTAAACAAAAATTAATAAAGTAATACCGTGTGTGTATGCGTGAAGCATTCTGTCAAGTCATTTGGTGTATTGATCACAGAAAGGCTACCTCCATTTCTATTTTTTTTCCTCTCGAGCACTACCATGTAGATCTGCGTGCATGTTTAAAAAGGTACACGTGTCACAATAACATGATTATCACGGTGTGACATGAGGAAAGGAAGAGTATTTTCAACATGCCTCTTTTTTTCCTTTTTGGGGTTTACAGCAAAGTTATAATTCACGAGTATCGAGAAAAACATTGGAACAAAGATCACCTTATGAAACCGGATTCCCTTCAGCTCAGAGGTCACGGAGGATTTTTGGCACAATCCAAAACTGTTGGGGGGAAAAAATTGTGCGCGTTCCACGAGATCACAAAGAGCATACCTGTAAATCCCATTAACGTCCAGAGACATTTTGAACAAGAAACAACACCGCAGACCCATGTCTAATGTTTATTTACAAGGCTGTCACTGTCTACATGCTACCCTAGCAGTGGTTTGCATTTTTCTTCAGAAAAAAAAGCCTTCTTCGAAAGTTCTTAACTTCAGTTGCTTCAAGGCCGGTGCAGGGACAAGTGAACGCTACAAGGAAATGATTAAAAACTTTGACATACCTTTCAAATTTTACTCAACTCTTTTTTTTTTTTTTACTTTCCTCATTGCCCAAGCACTTGTACTTTTATGAACAATGTAGAACCCTGCACCTTGGATGAACAAATTCTGAGTCATAACTAGCACAAACAAGTCTATAAATAGACTAACAGGTCTTAAATATGGTCAGTGACCCAACTTCTAGCATAGCTTGGCTTGCTCCACACAACACTACATCTATAATAATAATAATAATAATAATAATACAACATAACATAGAAAAATAGCACATTTCTTTCCATTTGAGTCTACAGTTGTATAAAATCTTCCCTCCAACTTGGCCTTGTTGTTCACTAAGAGCATTTAATTTTCCCTTGGTTTCTTTTTTGTGTATTTAAAAAGAGAAGGAATAGGATATCTAGTAGATTTTTTTTTAATTTGCCTGTGCTGGCTGCCAAAATAATGTAATTATCTATATGGCTCCAATAAAAAAGATTAAACCATTATGTTTTGAATAAATGCACTGTACTTAATAATGCACGTAACTTGAACATGGCCAAAGGAAAACAACTGAAAAGTGTGAATAGCAAATCCATCTCAATAAAAACTACATTAATATATATTGTTTCACTTGATCTTTCTACAATGTGTCTAAAATTAAGCCGGAATAATTTTAAGATATAATCAAAGAGTGAACAAATTTGCTTTACTAATTAGATTCAAGCAGATTTTTTGTACAGACTATTTTTTGAACTACGCTCAGTTAAATCTGAGCCTATATTTAACCAAAAGGTAAAAGAAATCATTAAATTTTCAGACTCAATCTGGCTGCATATCAAATATACATTATGTGAAAAACATTTGACAAAAAATCTCTTTTCATGATTTTTTCTTTTTTTGCTAAATGAGTTTAAATACAGATCTTAAAAAACACCACTTTTTACATTAATTCTGTAACTTGAACACTGGTTAATATCTCCACCTAAAATTCAATAACAACATTTTTTTTCAATAGAAACATCCCCCCTTTCACATACCACTAGGTGGCGTAATCAAGAGGAGCTGCTTCCATGAACATATAATACATCTCAGAACCAATTATAATATAAGCACAATAGACTAGAAGAGTCAACTGCCACTTTTTGCTACTTTAAAGTAGACAATACTTAAATATTAACAAGGACACTGCTTTCTAAACCAGCCACCAGGTGACTCTTTACAAGAAGAGATCAAGTCCAAGCCATCAGGATTCATGCTACCAAGAAGAGGGAGGCTTGCATTAGTGATAAGCTTGTAATTACAAATTTCCCTTTTGTTTTTGATATAAACTGCATGTAATTCTACACCACGCCTGAGCAGCTGTTACACACTTTACAAGTAAAGTTAGAGCTTTAGCAACCTTTTAAACTTATCAAGGGCTCATTTCTCACTATTTAATTAAAACCTGTTCTACAATATTGCAGACCCACTTAGTTTTAATTCATTCTAGAACATTTTTTTAATAACTTTTCAATGTTTAAGCTGCTACACTATCCCCATAATAAACTTTACTGTAAAGAAAATGCATCCTGTTAAAAATGAAGTGCCACTTTACAAATTTTACAAATTTTAACTTTTCATTATTGGTCAATAAACAGGAAAACAACAAGTAAATGATGCAGTGTGAGCCATTCACACTATAACAGGAATTAAGTCAATAAAATAACTACAATTAGAAAAAAAAAGATAACTTAAAGACAAGTTATGCCAGTTAACCAAGCTCTCTTAATTTTTTTTCCTAATGCAAATGCACCACATAAGTATTTCTCCCTCCCATTAACTGTTATAATTCTGTAATTTCCACCTTGTGATATCTGCAGCATGGCAAACTGTTTCATTTTGTGGCCATTCCTACAACACTCAGTGGCATGCCAAGTGTTTCAGTCCTCTACAGGGAGCTACACTCACACTATAGTGAGGTAGGAAGAGAGGGGAGGGTGGAGAGAGGTGGGGTCCTTTTATAAGACCCTGTAGACTGCCTACTTCTCCCCCTAAACTGGTGCCGGGGCCACTGGTCTCAGCTACTACACTGCAGTACTCTGTACTGTAACGTGGTTGTGTAACACAGGACTACACTGTGGGGTTTACTCATATCTACAACAAATACAGTCTCTCAGTTATCCCATATCAGTGGTCCAACTGGACAGAGCTCTTCCTTTCAATAAGGGCAAAGAAATATTCCTAAAATACAAGATACAATATCAATAACTCCTTCTCTCCCACACCATCACTTCATCTTCCTTCTCTCACTCTGTCTCTCCTTCATATCCAGGAACCACATATATCCAGGAGTTAGCTAGTAGTATGATACATATTGTCACACCCTGCTGTGTCCATGTGTTCTTAACAAGGACACGGGTCACTCACAAGGAGTGTCACTCCACTGCCACCTCTTCAAGTGACAGGGTTGGGGCTTTCTAGCATCTCCATTAAGAAAGTGTCGATGGGCGTGTCTCCGATGAGCTTGAAGAAAAACAGATGTTCCAGACACTTGAGGCCGATGCTTCGTAGAGCTGGCAGTCGGAGGAGCAGCTTGGCGAAGCGTCCTGGCTCATCTGGGTATTGTGTCCTGCAGTATTCCTCCAGGCTGGCATACACCTTCTCTCGCAACTGTTCTACCTGGGACACAGAGGTGAGACCCTTGGCATCTGCAAACAACAGGGATTTCATTTACAGAATGCAGGTTTAAATGCAATCAGGTACAAGCTGCTCTCCGGGATGGTTTAAGAACAGTCACTCATTCAAGCACAAGCACAATGTAGTTAATGAACTCGCATGAAATGTATTGTGCAAATCCTGAACACACAACTCATTATCTGTTTGAGCATAGAAAAATAACACATTTCTTTCCATTTATGAGTCCTCTTCTTTTAATATTGAATAAAGATCTATCAAGTCTTGAAGGTACACCTGAGTTTATGCAGGATCTGCTAAGACTAATCAATTTTTAACTTACCAAAATTACTTTTGTTAAATTTCTTTTTTTATTAAATGAAATATTTAAATATATCTAAACACACCAAGGGTAAGAAAATTAAACAAGGCTCAGGGGTTGAGGAAATAATGTACAGAAGGAAATGGAAAGAAAAAACTATGTGGAAACTAACCAGGGTTAAAGAGAATTATAGCTCGTAGGCAGCCCAGCTCTGTCTTGTCCATCTTCATCTCCCTCATCTTGGACACCAGCTCCGTCAGCACGCGGTCGAAGATGGTGCCTACGCCCGCCTGGTGTGCGCTGCTCCTGTGCACATGCAGGCCTGTTGCAAGCAGGATTCCGTCTTTTACGGAGATCGAGCGATGAGAGAAGGCGGCAATGAGGAGCTCATTCCAACCTTAAATAAAAGAAAAGCAGATAAGAAAACAAAATAAAGGCTTCATTGTAATTGGATTCATTTCCCACAGAGATGGATTTAATTACAGCAAATGGTGCCAATTACCCAGTAAAACATGAACTTGTTTGTTGAATCACAGGTAATAACTGTGGCTTGCATATACTCACATGGCTCCTACACAAGAGAAGAAGGCATGTTTTATTGATTTAGTCTTAAAATAAAACATGGAATACTCCAAGGGAATACACATTTATTATTCAGAATTCCCCAAGTGATTTCTTAGACACACAACTCTATCTGCAGTTCCAGGTGATAAGGAAAATGGAATACATTCATCACATTCACAATATATTCATGACAATAGCATCACAACTTTGGGTATTAAGACAAAAATGCAGTTGTAATATACAGATAACAAGAAATCAATCACAAGCACTGTGCACGTGAATGTTTTCCTCATTTTCTTTCCAAAATCAGACAACAGGTGATGTCTGGGTCTGCCTATTCAAAATTCTGAACTCTACGAGTATTATCATTCTATGATCTCTACTGATCACCAATTGCTCGATAATGTGTTCAACCAAGCATAAAGAAGGGAAAAAATCTAAAAGAATACAGAAGGGTGGGGGGCAATGAATCAGTTTTGTGACAGATGTGGACAGGGTCAAGCACAGGGCAGTGTGTTGACAGCTGACAGGCTGATATCTAAACCAATCAAAATGTAAATTCCCATTTGCTGCATACATGAAAGGTTGTGGGTCAAGCAAGGGTCAGTGTGCCAGCCGGCACTGGCTACCACTGGTCAGTGTGTTATGACTTGCAAAGCTTTCTAGTGTAAACAAAGACAGCATGATTGGTTGCCTCTAGTCATCTTATAGTCTTTTACAGTATAATTGTACTCGGGTCTCCATTGCATGTAATATTCTATTTGGACCACATAATTACTACCCTTCCTCAAATATTTTACTATCACATGAAATCAGAATCTCTGGAAGGCATGATATTTAGACTTTGGTTTTAAATCAATGTGCATTTTCAGATTTTTTTTTTACTTTGGAACTGGTAGTTCTACAGTTTGTATGTGCTATAAATTCGATTCTATAAAGTCTTATGAAAAATCAACTTTGTGTATCTCATTCATTTATATAGTTATAGATATTAGACATCTTCACAATGAAAATTTGCTTGTCAAAAGTACAAATACATAACTAACTAATGAATGAACTCAATTGGCATGGAGACGTTACACAGCAAATTAAAACAGTTCTGTATACAAAGAGGGTTGTTGTGTTTAGTGTCGAGTCACTCTGGTTAATGGGACATTTGGTCAAAACATTTTCAACATGAAGTCATTTGATGACCTTTCAACTAGTCGAAGTAAGTATTTTCACATCGCGAGATTATTTTCAAACAAAATATTTTCAAAACATTGTGTAATTATTTTGTTCCACTGGCACAACCCTGGGGTTCCTGAAGGGAAAGCGGGGCACTAAGGAGAAGCAAACATCAGCTGATCAGACTGATTGATACAATTCTACCAGCCAAATAACCCTAAACTCTGCCTGACCCTTTAACCTGCCTTGCTCCCCCGGTGTATTAATATTGCAAGTTTTTATGAAGTACTATTACAACTGTATACACCATATGGGATTCTGTTACAATAGGTTCCATTGTTTTCTTGTAGCTTAAGGCAAATGGATTTCTATTTCACTTTTTTTGGAGGGATGGTGGGTGGGGGTTAATTCTTCACCCACACAAAAACAGAAATTAAACCCTCTTACCTCTCCCTGTAACAACCAAACCCTGACTTCAAAAATATATTATTATTATTTTTTGGTGGTGGGGGAGGGGGGGGGGGAGAGAGGATCTTGTCAAATGCTTGATTTTAGCCTTTTTTAAAAACATTAAAATTAATGAAATGAAAGGTATGAAAACAAGAATTTTTCTAATGATTTTCAATTCATCACAGCATCAATTTAACAGCTTACTTTGCATCTCAAAGTCATTCTCTTAGTGAAGATTGTCTCCGCTTTGGGCTATGTGAGAAGTAACATCTAGATAAAAATACCCTAACCCCTGTCTATGACAGCTGAACTTTGAATGACTCTTATTTCCCAGTTCTGCTGTTTATCTGCTGTACCACATCCTGTTTTGTTATAGAGAGAGACACTATTATGAGATATCAGATACAGTACCACACCAAAAATAGACTTGAATCTATTCATTTAAGCCACCCAACAATAACTGTCTCTGCTGTACTTTTATAACATACTTCTTAAGCCTTGGTGCATGCATGCACACACACGCATGCACACACATGCATGAACAAGATCACACGTACTAGACCTCCCACCTTGGTATTTCTTCACCATTTCAGTTCATTTGAACAACTATGACTTTACAATATATGCTATAAATTCTTTAACTACATAATTTAGACAACAACAACAGTTTTCAAATGAGATTACACGAATGAGATCAAACCAAACTTAAGATTTTATCATCCATAGCATTCTGTTCACATCTCAAGTTCCAAGGACTTCTCTATTCCAAACTTATTTCCTACCTAAAACAATGTCATGCTAAGAAAATATTTCTCTTATTTGATCAATTCCCTTACAATTGATATCTAACAATCAATCCTCCTAATATATATTAAGAAGTGTTAGAACAATATTTGTGTACTGTAATTTTGTATCTTTGTTATCGCCATCTAGTCCTGGAAACAGTTTAACACCAACAATAATCTTACTTCCTTTACGTCATCGCAGTTACAGAACAAGTTTCTTAATCAACTCAGACTGTATGTGTCCCCAAAGCAGAGTTCAAATTATTTTTCACATAAGCAATAGCTGTAATCTATATGCCAAGAAACATATATTGGACAGCAATTTTACTGGTAATCCTCTCAGAGCTATCTGTTGAACTAAGATATTACAGTAATGACTCTATCTTTTCAAAGGAGATAAGACTCTATCTTTTCAAAGGAGATAATTATCATTCTTTCATATATATATATATATATATATATATATATATATATATATATATATATATATATATATATATATATATATATATATATAACTTAGGAATCATTGTATAACATTATTTGTGTTTCAACTGTGTAGTAAAGAACTATAGGATATAGCCTGCTTTTCAATTTTGTTGCTACCATAAGAATTAAAGAATTAATTAAATATTTGAATCACTTTACCACAGATATATGTAAATACTATTAAATTCTATATTTTTAGGTAGCATTCACAACAGATGATCCACTGACTAACTAGTCTGCAGATCAAATATGGCTGCCCCACTTGTTGAAAAGCACTGCCGAATAATCCCCTAATGGTCTCCCTACCTACCACATGCACAGTCCTTGCAGAAGCCTAGCAATTAAAGCTAAATTAAACATGACCGAGATTCAATTGCTAGGCCCCTGCACGGATGCTGCATGTTGGAGGCAAGGAGTCAATAAGAGGATTAGGGGGCATTGCTTTTTAGTAGGTCGGCCATATTTGATCCATGGATCTGTTAGTCAGCAAATCAACTTGTTCTGAAAGCATCCTTAGACTCACCAGCTCTCAGTAGGATAACCTGGTCATCAATGGGGAGTTCTGTGAAGTGAGGGATGCGTTTGGCCCATTCCACTAGAGTGAACAGCTGCTTGTCGGCAGCCTGGCAAATGTTGGTCACTGCGTCTTTCTGGAATTAAAGATAAATAAATAAATAAATAAATAAATAAATAAAAAGTTAAGGCTTTCAAACAATATTATAGATTTGGTTTTTGCAAAAAGAAAAAAAAAAGTAAAAATGTTTTTGGTGCCACCAACTTCAGTAACTCTTTAAGGACCCTAACCAAACCATTTTACCCTCCCCCCTTACTTTCCAAAAACCAAGGAGTAAAAGAACACCCAGAGAGCAATCTTGAGACTACATACCTGAGCATCAACATAGGTCTCATGACTGGGCTCCACCGCCATCTCTGCATCCAGGACTTTCTCCACAGGCATGTCAGAGTTTGCATTGCTGGTGCTCTCCACCTCGCCCTCCCCTTTCTCCTTGGCCCGCTGGCGTTCTTCTTGGACCGCTGCGGGGACGAGGACATCTAGGATTAGTATTATACAGAGTCACGTGCTAAACAAACGACCACTTTATGTGCAGTGCGAAATATCTTTATTAATATCAGGCCATGTTGAATAGAAAACTTGGTATGAAGAGATTTTCGTAACAGGAAGTGGGGTACTGGGCTGGAATAGATAAGCCAAGGCGTAGGGCAACTAAGGTGACATGGGTAATAAAGAAATTTTGAGGTTTTTGATACTTCCAAAAGATTTCACAAATAAACCATGACAAAATTTTCAAGTTCAATAATCCAAGTTTTCCAGTTAACACAATCATATTAATAACCTGTGGTGTGTTAGGAGAGGAGGTGCAAAGACGGTGTATTCCATGGCCAATTTCCAATGAACAAAATACATTCCAACTCAGCAGGCCATCTGATTATAATATCTAACCATGAGACTCAATTGCTGTAGCCATGGGTGGTACAACCAAATGATTAGATTTGCCTTTTATGATTAGATACCATGATTCAATGGCCTGCTGGGATAGAACATACTAAGGATTTGCCATTGGAAACAAGCCTCAGAGAAAAAGACAAAAATATCAAAACCAAGGTATGGCTATTTCAAAGAACTTGTTTTAATTCAATAATAAAATCCTTTCAAATTTTGTTAAAATCAAATCATTGATAGATACAACTTAAAATGAAATAGTAAATACCAAGAGACTGTGTTCACATTGTAAGGGAAAGTAATTAAAAAAATCTTTAAGCTTTTTGCCAATAATAAAAATATTCACTGTCCACATGAACTTCCCTGGGGGTAAACAAACCTACTTAAGGGCTATCTTCTCCACAATTTAATCCCCCCTGCCTCAATCTGAATACTGCTTTAATTCTACTGGCTTGATTAGTTTCTAAATCTGGCAGTTTTAACCTCACATCCCCTCCACTTGTCTTACATGCCTCTACGCACGTACACAACATAGAAACCAATGGGCATCCTACCGTCACCTCATAATAACCTGCACGCTATACTAACAATGGGGGGTTCTACTTCTTTCTGCTGAACATTTAAGCTGGCAAATCCATTGGTGCTGTGTAATGATGTGGTCAGTCCAGTGGAGGGGTCACTTCAGGATACGCCTGGTCATACATGGGCCAGTTATATCAATATGGTTACATCTAAATGGCTAATCGGCTGCCTTCTTTTTCTAGGGGTTGGGGGGGGGGGAGTGGTGGAGTATTAGTTGATTTTTCTACTGACCTAATATATAAAATGTGTTTTTTTAATTCTCTTGAAGACTAATTCATTTAACTGTTAAATACACATTAACGTGTTAGCTTAAAACAATGAGTGTGGTTGTTTATCATCGTGAATAAATTATTCTGTTATTTTTACCACCACATGCTGGGGCATAAGTTATGATAGGTATTCTATGGTTATTTTGTTAAATAAAACTATCAAATATTTTTTTGTATTTTTTTTCAATATTTGAGGTTTTAAGACAAACACTTCTTTCTTCATATTTCCTTTTTTTGCCAAATTCTATGAACAGAGAGTAAAATTTTCAGACTGAAAGGGCGGCACCACATCTGTGATTATCACACATGGTAGAGGGGTTATTCAAGACAACCTATAACATTACAGGACAAAAGCTAAACTGGAAATTCATCTGGACAGTTAAAGCTAAATCACTTATGTTTTATTGACATGAAAAACCATCTATCTCTGCATTAACGTTAAAGAGACACATTTATGACCTTGAAACTACAGTGAACACAGACATATTGCTTTGAATTAATGATAAGTGTGAAAATATTGAATAATTGTGCTGTGTTTATGTGTTACAAGACCAAACTTAACCTTCCATATGCAAAATACTGTACTTCAATCTGAGACAATAATATTTACAATGGTCACATTTTCACATTTTATTAATCTTTTTTAAATTTTAAGATTTCTGTCAATAACAGAAAATCATAATTTTAACTTGTAAGATTTGTATCAATAACTGAAAATGAACAATATTCTGCAAAAAAACTCTCTTTTTTTTGTCACACAGATTTTTAAAATATGACCATTGTTTTATACAGCAATGCAATGTGAACACAAGGGTTTTACAAAATAAACATATTAATCTGCCCGCCATGTTGACATCATGTTTATAATATCATGACATCTATATACTGATTTCATGTTAATCATATTATCTGACTTCTGACTGTCGATTTAGGCAGTCCATTAACAAACTACCACAGTCCACCTCAGTTTTAAGACCCAGTTCTCAGTTTTTACCGTCTTAGAATGTCAATCATTAAAATCAAAGAAATGATACAATTTTGTAATATTCTGATGTATTTTGGAACTATTACGACTTAAAGGCTGGACTTGGCCTTTCCATATTTCATTTATGGAGACAGACATTCTGAAATTAGTTTTATGAGAACATGTAGTTTTTAACTGTGTACCAAAAATATCAAATACCAGAAGAATTAGAAATTTTTTCTATAATCTGTATTTACTTATCAATCTTCTTCACTTTCGCTCATGATAAAACATCAGCCTTAGCTTTTTTATTTCCCAAAACAAGTGTTCAGAAATAACATGAAATCATCACAAGATGTGCACACATATTTTTCTGAGATGTGAAGTTCATACCAAAACAATTCAGAAGAAATACCCACCTTCTCTTTTCATGCCCATAGCTAGACACTTCATGTAGCGGCAATACTGGCAGCGGTTACGCTGGCGTTTGTCGATGACACAGTTGCGATCATCACGACACGCATAGGACAGTTCTTTTCGCACTGTTCTTTTAAAGAAACCTTTACAGCCTTCGCAACTAGAACAGAGAAAGGAATCAATGCAAGTTATTTTTATTTTTTTTATTTATTTTATTAATTTTTTTAGAACATACAGCTGGGTTGTGTAGAACTACTCATAAATTTTCTTTCTCAGTACCTCAGGCTTTATGATAATTCTAAATGATAGGAGCATTTCAAAACTTATATTGAAAAAGTTACAGCTTCCCGTATCCCCTTAGTAAAACCTGTATCCCCTTAGTAAAACATTTAGTTTTACAGTGAGGATAATACGCCATAATTCAAACAGCATGCCTCAGAACTTTTTTCTCCATCAAATTAGAACTTTAGTAACTGACAAAGATAATGGAAATATTGCCATTGGAAATTTAGGAATGGAAAAGTTTGAGATGATATAAAGAGATTTAAATCTTTTTCTTCCACGTTTCCAGATGTTTTTAATGGATAGGTTTCCTGCAGAACAGGCTTTCCCATTTCTGGAAATGTTTAATATGTAAATATGAGTCAAGTCTAAATTTAAATGGTTTGAAATGGTTCATTTTTAAAGCTTCTCTCACTGTGTGTGTGTGTGTGTGTGTGTGTGTGTGTGTGTGTGTGTGTGTGTGTGTGTGTGTGTGTGTGTGTGTGTGTACGCATACACAGGCATGAGTGCATCAGTGAGTGTGTATCCACGTCCCCTCACTTCACTGCGTGCCACTCACCTATACACCCCGTAGTGTTTCCCGGATGCCCTGTCCCCACAGATAGCACAGATGTGTTTATTGGACATTGAACTATGGGGGTTCTGCAGTCCTAGAGAGGGCGGGGGAGACATGGTCATCTGTGACATGGGGGACGTCACCGACGACATGGAGTGTGGAGACGACACACTGGAGGTCGGTGAGTGCAGGGTCGGTGACATAGGGGGTGGCTGTAAGGGGGGTCCGCCCATGTTGTAGTAGCTGGGGATCCCCTGGCCTGGCTGCGGCACCAAGGTGCGGATGTCCGGCTTCATGTCTGGTGGGGAGGGGGCGCCCATCCCCATACTACCCATGCCGTGCATTGAGCTGTCCATGCCACTCATGCCTGATGAATCCATCGAGGGTGGATCTGTAATGATACAACAGGGAGAATATTGTTGACCTATGTTGATAAAGCACAATGACACAACAGAAAGAGATGGTGGTGAGACATGGATTATCTCTCAGAAGTGATTCTCTCTGGCATACTGGAAACCTGTAAATAAAACCCCGTTAGTTTCTCCCAATGATATTAAAATACAGGAATGTACGAGTTCTGGTTACGGGAGAATGCGTCTTTCGTTCCGACTAAATATGCTCGTGAAGAAAAAATAGCCCATTCAATACCAAATAAGCAAATATTCATTATTCTGCTTTACCAAACTTATCTTTCTAGCCACTGGCAAATATTTTCTAAGCTCATCGTAAGATATCGGATCAACGCATTCTCTACATTGCATGTTGAAATACTAGTACATGAATGCAAGAAAAGAATCTTGTTACTTCTCTTAATACTACAAAAGGAATTCTACATCACAATGGACAAGTTAAGATGTGTAAATATACCTTGAGTGAAAAAAATATTTCACTACTGACAGAGAACTCTGTTAATAGAGGCATGCCATCATCAAACACACAAACTTAAATATATGATTAAAGATGTGTTTCATGCAATATTAATGACAAAATTCCATAATCTTTAATAACAGCTTAGCTCTATATAATACTAAACAATATGTCAAAACATGAAATAACAGCTCCAACAAATCACTCATGCTAATGTTGTATGATGTGAAGACTTAATCTCATTGAAAAATAAGATGACATATTTACTTCTAAAATGACTGAACCTGGTCTATTACAATCAGCAACCACAAAATAAATCCTGCCCTTAATAAAGCATATAATACCAGAACTCTTTCCTTTAAAACCTATAAATAATCCCAGATATATTGAAAAATGAAGACAAAAAACCTTAAAAATCCATTTCAGTTGTACCATCACTGCTTCCAGGCACCACCAGTGCTGACAGTTCATCGCTGACCACAAATGAGCAGGAAATAAATACCGCAACCCTGGAGGCTTCTCATGTACAACTAACTACAAGTCATCTACACCGAGTAAAAATCAACACTTAAAACTTGTCCATTAAAACCCTAACATGTTATATAGGACATATCAACGAAACAATTAACAAAAATCAAACCTATTTTTCTCCTTTTGGTATGTTTGAGCAGTATATCCATGGTTATAGATCTATCTCTGGTTCACCTCGTCTTCACCTCACAATATTACATGGCAGTGCACAAACCAGGTCACGCAAGGACAAATTGTGATCCCAATTTCTCTCTCAAAACGCACCGAGATCCCACATCTCATCTCAAGTGCACCTAGAATTTCCGACAACTTTTTATTTAATTTCTTTCCCTGGCACTAACAGGCTGTGGATGGAAGTGCACAATATTGAAGTAATATTGATTGAAAAACTAAATTCCCTTCGTTATTCCTTTGAAGTTGAAAGGCATTCTCTCATAGCTGTTCATGTGACTCCGGCAGCCAATGGTATTCTCCATACCAATAATGAATCCATGTCCTCAGATGGCCTGAACTGACCCAATTTTAATCCCAAAGATGCATTAACAAAGCTGCGTCTTATTCTCTTGGTGCCAGGAATGTGCATTTTCAATTCTACCAGTAGATGGCATCATTCACAAGAGAAGCACATTCCTTTTAGTTGGTGGAGAATCCTAATTTAGCTTTTGAAGTCATCTAAAGACAAACACTATCTGATCTCTAAGAGGGTACTAGTGCTTTGTAACCAAAAGATGCTTCAATTACAATAACATCGTGATTCAGTCAAAAGGGGTGTCCTGGTACAGCAGGTCTTAATAGAATGAACACTGATATCAGTTACTGTTTCCATGTGAGACCTGCCATTGGCAGAGCTGGCAGGTCTTGTTGTTTGCTTCATCTATCAGCAAATAGGCATGAAATTGCTGCTGTCATTTTTTCTCAATGAAAGATGATAGTTTTACTGATGTACTTTTCTGAAGATACGTGACCAGCAGGGAAAAAAGGAACACCTGACCAAAGCTACTCCTATTTTCATATTAGATGTGGATGTCTCAGGGATGAGGGGTCTAATCAATAAATGAAATTTGCTTTCAAGACATGCACACAGCATGCACTCAGTGTTGAATTAAATGATATCTCTCTGAAACTATCTATTTCAGAACATATCAATTCAATCCTATCATTTCATCTCACCACTTTTGTTTCTTTTCATCTGGTTTGAACAATGAGAATTTCAACACAAAACAGAATATAACAATGAATCCCCCAAAAACATTGAGATTTCTATGAAAGACCATCATGTGAAAATTGATCTTCACAGCACACAAATTTGTTTACAATAAAAGGTATGAAATCTCCACTGAGATTATCTCTAAAATCTCTCACGTCATGGTGATACTGTTGGCAACACTGCCTACCTTGATAGTCTTCCTCCTCCTCCTCCTCCCCACCATACAAACAGAACATAGTATCCATCACTGTGAACTCACTGCTGCTGATCATGATAATATACCTCTCACAAACTTCAAATCATGAAAATTATATTTTATCCTTAAAATATCCAGTCCTTTTATCCTTTCATGCAGAAGTTTCAATTTTATCACCCTGGCCAAGGCTCTTCTAAAACCCTTATTTCATAGTCCAGTTCTTCTATGAGAGTACAGTTTCATTCAGCTCTGTAATCTGTTAATGTTAAAACCTTAGAAACTTCCCGTAGCTTTTGATAATTTACAATCCATTGTTATACATCCTGGTCTGCTGCTATCCATGACAGTCAAGCCAATGGTGACACTTTTCATTTGGAGACCGCAGGTGATCAAATGGGCACCACTTCTAGAACCATGCTTCAGTAATTTTTGTCACATATGATAGTATAAAACAAAAAATCAAATCCAAGTCAAAACCATACAAAATCAACAGAAAATCCCTCCAAACAGTAATGGGTATATGGCCAGTGAAGTACAAGTCTGCTTAATGTAACTGTATGCTACTAGGACCAGTGTGGTCACCTCCGCACAGGTAAACGTCCAGTGCTATAATGTGGGACCTGTGTATTGCCTCCAAACACCTCAGCAGCGGTCAGTGTGAGTTCATCTATTTTGTTTATGCAAACAAGCTTGGCAGAACGGGTGTAAATAAGGTCAAAGACTGGTTATGTGGACTCTTTTATACACAGATCTCCAAACATCTTAATTCTCAAAAGATTCAATTGTTGTATTCACGTAGCTAAATATACATATATATCATCTAACAATACATTGATGTTAAAATGCACAGGGGTTGATCTTTAAGCAGTGTCCAAAATAAACTATACGAAACAGCTGTATCAAAAGCACTATTGCATCAATAAATATCAACACTACGTCATCATGGGGATTACGCAATCAAGGTCCATCAGCGGTCATGTCAAACTGCCATTGGACAGAACTGACCTTTCGTTGCATAAGTGCTCCAATTTCATATCTGGAACTGCTGATCACAGGAACACATTCTTAGATATCCATTTTCTTGTACCCAAGTAGGTGCGGACACGGGCCATCTTCTGGGTCTTCCAGAAGATGATCAGAATTTTTCAAGCTTACATTGACAGACATCTAATTTTTCCCATCCCAAGACAGTCAAAAATGGAGAATGACTCAACAAAGACAATTGGGAAGACGGTCAAAAAATATCTCTGGATTCGCCCCAGTCAAGAGTCCACAAAATGAATGTCACTGCTTACTCTCCCCATGGACTGATTGTACCACTTATCTGGTGTTATAAAACAAATCAAAACAGTTTACAGACCAATGATTCTCAAGACTGATCAGAAAAATGGTGCCATAAAAATTGCGCTTTAACAGTTTACCTGACCCAGACCCAAAGTTTACCTGGTACAGAAATAAATTGGGTTCTGGCTGTCTTCCAACAGGAAGTGGCACCTAGAATTTCAATGTTTTAACAGAAAAGTGAAGCAATTTTTTTTTTCACATAAAAAAAAACAAACAAACAAAAAAACAAAATCAAATGTTCAAAATGAATACAGTAAGGGATGACAGGAAAGTTGCTCTGAATAAAAGCAAAAGGAAAATATCAAGATTAAAGTCATACCTGGTCTGCCAGTTTGGCACAGAACTCACCAAAACAGAAATCTATAGCAATAGCCAGGTTTGACTCACCAAAACAGAATTGCCACAGCAATGGTCAGTTTGCAAGCATTAAGTCTGTCCGTTTTTTCTCCCCCAAGGTCAATCAGTGGTCAAATATGGAAATCAAATATGTTATCCTAATGCACATATAGAAGTAGTGTACATCACAAGGTGGTAAATAGATATAGTCAAGGTTAACTTGTGGTCAGGCAATGGCCATGTATCAGCTGGCTATTTTCAGCAGGACTGGAGTCAGCTGAGGTCAGGGTGTAAATACCACTGCCCTGGTCATTTGGTAGTGTGACCTTTCTGTACCCTTGTTACTCTATGTTTCTCTGATTCGAAAAAGTTAATAAACCCAAAAAATTAAATATTAATGTATTTAACATAACCATGCACTTGAAACGCCAACTGACATTTTGCTACTATCTGTGTCTTGGTCTAAAATTTCTTAATAAAATATTTTAGTTTTATATAAAGTTGCAGGTCTGCAGTTCCTGCTACAATTTTTTAAAATTAAAATGAACTTAGACAAATAAATAAGTATCCATCACTGACACTCGTGACAAGTGGATATTTTTAAACAGTATGACTAACTGAAGAAAGATATAAAATTGGTTTCCATGGCAACTTCTGCTAGAGTCATCATGTCTACACTTTGCAGATTCCTTCTGGTTGCTTGCCCAGGATTAAATATGAGATCACCAAGAAGGAAAGACTTAGCTGAGATCTAGACGCACATTCTAATATCACTGATTCAGACTCTGCTGTTAATCAATTCTCTTATAAATGCTCTGGTCAAAATTCAGTTCATTATTAACACTGACATAAACAGCAAATTTGTCAGGAAGCAGTTTATTACTTGGTGATGATCCCATCATGAAAATATCAATATCTTATAAAACCAGCTTCAAGAGGCTTGATCAAGTGGGTATGAAGACATAAGCACCCATATTGTCACATAATTATCATAACAACGAGTGTACAGTGATCACGAAAGCCGTCTTATGAAATCTACACACCTCATTTCAGCATGGTTCTAATTGGTTTGAACTTTCCCTTGCCAATAATCTAGGTTTTCCTAGTGAACTCGGAGAACCCCAATTAATGAAATGTCACGTAAGGTTTCTTCCTATTTAAGTTTGCTGTAGAACAACAGATTAGGCAACACTTAAATACTGATTTAGTGTTTCTACATTTTTTTTAATATTTTGATGCCAGGTTGGCATAAAAAAGTGTGGAATTTTAGGTTTATCCACTCAACTTAAAGTGTCATTTTTTTCTTTCTAAGAAAAAAAATGAAAAACAGCTTCAAAACTAAATGGGTTATCTTAATTAAAAGTGAAAGCAGAATGGGGACATCTTGCTTTTCACCCAAGAATAAAATCCGTTTTCTGTCCGACTTTAAGGTGCATTTACCCATCAAGTTTAACATGAGCTTTTATATATTTATTCATATGAGAAAAATTCCAGTACAATTATACACAAGATTCCCAGATTTGTTCAACTTACAAAATACCAGAGTCAGACTGATGAAAGATGGTAAAACATCAATCATAGGGTTTGTTTTAGACTCAACACCTTTTCAGAAAAGGAGTGGCGACAATCACATCTGTTGACTGTGTTAGCGGGATTATAGAATGCCTTTTTCTCAATATCCTGTTCACATGTTTTATTTCTATGTGTTCATTACAGGATTTTTATGTTACAAATCAGATTTTTCTTGGCACTGTGCCTCCTCCAATCTTCTGTAGTTTTTTACAGAATTCAATTCAAACTCATACTTCTTACAATCACTAAATCAATTCAATTACTTTAACTTCCCATTACCAAAAAAAAAAAAAAAAAAAAAAATGCTATTAATAATACCACAATCAGTATTGATCGAAACAATAGGCCAAAGTGTTCCATGTTTTAAGTTCTGAAAATAATCAGGAAAATATGAAATTTACCTGACAGCACCCACACTTTTTAGTCTTCACCTGCATGAGTCATATTTGATTAAAAAAAGTGCAGATCTAAAATTGTTCATCTGATTTCCCTCAGATCCACTTTCAATAATACCACGGAAAAATTGCACAGAAAATGACTGTAGTTGAAAGCAATACCACCATACTTCACCTTGTGTACTGGCTGTGCTAATTTTTTTCTTTCTTTTTAAAGCATTTTACTCTTCCACAACACTGATCAGATGAGCACCCTGTTCTCCTATTGTGGTCTACAAATGATATTCTGCACTGGCACTGATGCAGGTATGCAGGTGATGGTTTCTCAAGTTTTATGAAAGGCCCTTTTCACTAAAGCCCTTTTTACATTGTGTGGTATACTTTTTTGTATTTCACACCATTTTGATAGACTGGTTATTTAACAGCTTGGCTGTTATGTAATAGAGTCATGTTAACTTTTACATTCTAACCTCCATGCTGTTTGCAGTATTACATTTTTTCAAACTTTGACTTTTTCATTTATTTAACTACATATTGAACAGAACTCCTCCATTCTCTTTTTTTTACATAAATACTTAATACTGTTTTGTGAAGAAAATTGTATTTAAACTTAATAAGGAATCAGTCTTTTCAATGGGTAAAAATATGTATAGTTCAGACAAATAACTCAAGAATCATTATAAATATATTTCTGTGTAGCAATTGTGGTACTTTTTCTGTGTAGAATAAAATTATTTGGTAACCCGCATTTCATTTTTGTTACTACCACTCAATAGGCATGTTCTAATTTTCAGAATTTAAAAAGTTCAGAGTCTATAAAATTCACAATTTTCCTCAATGAAAAGACCGAGTCATTATCATTATTACCAAAAATTTTCTTAATTTGATAAAAAAAAATTCTAGATACATGTCCTAAAAGAAAAACCCACTTAATATCACCACTCCATACCTCTGCTGGGGTACCCTCCCTGAGCATAACCATAGTAACACCCTTCCATCCCCTGCTCCACAATCCTCATTCTATTAGGCTGCATATAATATAGGCAGCACGTAGGGGTGCTGGACTAGAGACAGAGCCCAGTGACACAGTCCACACTGCACACAGATTACCACCAGACAACCACCAGTATGCTGTTCTCCTTTAAAATGGAGACTGTTGCCCAGAAAAGTTTTTCTCCTTTGTTGAGGGCAGAAAATGCTGTAAATAAGCTTTTTCCCAGTGCCCCACTCCTTACAGTCCAGCACTCCTGTCTATCCTGCTCAAAATAAATGTACTCGCTGACACCAGCACTAGACTATGTATTGATCAGATTACTACAGCGTGGAGCAGCCACCATTCAAATAGTTCTCCCTTTGTAACACACACCGTCCAGTGGAATTTAAATCTGAACTTAGACTAGACACAAAAAACGAGAATAAATCTTTCAATCTAAATACTCTATCCACGAGAAGCCATAAAGTAATTCCAACAGCTCCGGTGTATAATTTAGCATGCCAGGAGAATTGGAAACAGCAACACTGCTGCCATCTTTACCTTGTGTACCGACTGACTCTGCTCCTGAACGCAGTGACTCCTCAGCTGTTTACAGGACAATTGACCCAGGATGGTTTTATTATAGAACTCAATTCTACCTTGTGCTAATAGTGACACAAGTATGCATAATAGCTGACTTTTTCTTCCACAGATTGGCTACTATTTATTCATAGATGCTGAGACACACAAGGCAGCTTGGGATGTAACATTTAACTGAATACTTGAAGTCATTGACAAGATTTAAAAGTCGGTGATTTTTATGACTAAACTGTTCCAGTAACAGAGAAGACTAAAGTATATTTTGGAACCTTTAAAAAGGACCTGGCGAGGGGAAAACAAGAGACCATTTATTTATATTTAGTCTTATCCACTACCTAATTTTATCTTACCTATATGAAAGAGTCACCAAACATGCCACATTATGTGGACTGGGACTGGAACATTTCAAGTCAGCATTTAACACACACTGGGGATATTTTTACCCTGAGTGTTTTTATGAAAACTTTTTATTTTCAACACAAGATTTTTAAACCTTAAATTCAGGTTAATTTTCTTTAATTTCTTGATAAATGCTACAACATTTGAAATCATGTTGACAAAACAATTGTGGACTGTTCTTTAATCCATTTTCCAGCAGCACCATGCTTGCTAAACAGGTGAAACATCATTTTAGAAAATATGTTACATGAAGGCCTGGATCAAAACCCATGCTTAACATGGCTGCCTCACATCCCAAAACAGCAAAAGCATCAAGTGCATTTTTTTTCATCTACCTGCACAATAATCCCCATCGGATTGGATTAGAGCCAACATAGCATCTGCAATGGATCCAACTGCCTGGGCCATTCAGAATGTAACTAGGTGTAATCTACTCTGTTCAATTCTGTAGAGACTTGCAACACTGCAGGATCTCCCTTCCCATCTCTTATACACTAAAAACAAATAGCCCATGGGTGAGGTGGATTCTATTTGAACAAATACGATATCAATATTTGCCATGGGGCCCGGTGATGATGACTAACGTCTCGTTCACATGCACACTTTGTCCACTGCCTGTTACAAAGTACAATTCACACCAGTTTTAACTGAAACAGTTTACACTCCAACCCCCTGAAGTGCACTTAAGTAGTCTGTTAAAAAATCTTTGTATGGCACCCTGCACGATTTCACATAATCAACAAGACAGGTTCCACGCCAAAGCCTTTATATTTGTAAGTGGGGGCGATTTCACATCTAGGTGCCGAGTAGCGCACATCCTTGTCTATGTTATGTAATGCAAGCCTTATACTTGCTCCAGTGATTACACAGAACAGGACAATTAGGCTTCATTCACATGCAATGTCTATTTTATAATTCTATTTTCTATTTGCGGTATGTCTTATGATCACTATCTGTGCCCTGAATATCCCGCGGCGTAATTACTGGCAGCGCGAGCCAGTTACTATAAGTTACTATAAGTAACTGGCTCGC